CTCATGGAATGTTTTGGTTCTGTTGAATCAGCATTTTCCAACTAAACATTGTTCCATCAGAAAATTTTTGACTAGCTCTACTTTGTAGTACGGTACCATTTCTAGTTCCTAAGCCGGTGATGGTACCCTCTTTGACAGTCTCAGTGGAAAGGCCAAAGAATGAGTTCAAGTCCATGCCCACTATCATCCATAACCACAGATGAGTAGAAGTCAGGGAAAGGTGCTGTCCCTGCTGTATGAATAAACAGACATTTTATATATTGCACATGTACTAAAAAGTTGAAGACAAAAGAATTCATGCTAGACACACACAAGCATAACTGACAGCTAATGAGCAATATTTTTTAACAAACTTAGATTCAGGCAACAAATGGATGAGAATGTTTTGTTTGTTATTTTTTTTTTTCAGCTTATGAATCATTTACAAATCTCAACCTCTTTGGACTAGTATGCTTCTAAAATGAACATAAAAAGGCTTAATTCTATGAGTAATTTTATCTTGTGGTGGATTATCATTCACTTTCACTAATGCAATATGAAAATGACATATGGGATTACAACAGTTTGGTGGCAAATTTCTAGTACCATTCAGTGATCCTTAAATTAAAACATGTACAGTAGCTGCTGTAGATATGATGTGTATTTCCAGGAAACCTGTCAAAACTGCTCACATGAAACACAAGAGAAATGGAGAGCAAACCCTTCCAATACTCATACCACTCAGAGAAGTGTAAGATCAAAACCAAGAGCTACATTACTTTTAAAACCTTTTTAAAAATTGGCCTTGAACTAACAACTTGCCATATTTATGAGCTGTGTATGATAATGAATGCCTCAGGCCTGCATTCTGTTATCTGACAAAACTACTATTGGCTATATAGTACAGTGGTAGCCTACTGCAGAATTAGGCCCAAAATACAATGGCACCGCGTTGTTTAACTCAAGAACAAACCACGCTGTATTCTGCTTGTGCATTTGCAAATACAATAGGATATGACCAAACAGAAAATTACTTGTGGTTTTCATGTGTATCATTTTTGCCACTTTCACAATTAGAGGACCTATCTTACCATTAAAGTCACTTGCACAGGTCCCATTGACTTTAATGGGAGCAGAAGCAGGAACAAATGTTTTTGATTTTCGGGTTTTTTGAGGTTTAAACACCTCCTAAAATAAATTTATAGATGTACTAGTTAATGAGAATTTAGAAAGAAAAATCCTAAAATGTGATAGCTTTGTTGCTGATGCCAGGCACTCACATTTAAAAACATTGGCCATAAGTTTTATAATGCTCTTCCTCATCCACATCATATCAGACAGCATCAAGGGACTGTTACAGAAAGGGGCATAGATCAGGTGCAGAATCAATCAGTGCTGAAAACATCATCCAAAAACTGCAACACAGCACAATATAATGATGCCAAACATATCCTCTGGTATAGTTGGTAAAATAAATTCAGAAGCCAGTTTTATACTGTGCAATGTATTTCACACTAGACCAGGGGTTCACAAACTGGAGGTTGGGACCCCTCAGGGGGTCACATGCTGTCAGCCTCCACCCCAAACCCCGCTTTGCATCCAGCATTTATAATGGTGTTAAATATATTAAAAAGTGGTTTTAATTTATAAGGGGGGTCGCACTCAGAGGCTTGCTATTTGAAAGAGGTCACCAGTACAAAAGTTTGAGAACCACTGCACTAGACAATATGATTTTTATCTATGCAGATAGATAGATAGATAGATAGATAGATGTTGATTTACAGAAGGCAGAAATGCTACCTTAAAGAGCTGACTTTTTCTTCTGTAGGACTATGCACCCATTGGGCATAATTTTTTATCCTGCAGGCTTTCCACATGCAAGACTCCCATTGACTTCAGTGAGAATGAACTGACTGCAGAATCTAATTAAGCCTCCTGAGGTTTGGGGGGAAAACCTCATATGATGCCTGAAAATTTATGTGACTTCTAGGGATTTGCAAGATAGGTTGCCTAATTCACTGCCAATTATACTGCCATTATTTTGAATTTATAAATATAAAGAGAAGAATAAGATCATCATAGGTACAGATTAGGAAGTAACAGTATGGTTACTGTGTACATATCCAAAATTCATTTCAGGGTGGCATTTATTAAGTAGAATTCTATATATGACATTAACAGGTGAAAAATGGTAGCTAATGAAATCTGCACTATGGACCTGATCCAAAGACCACTGAAGTCATGGAAAAATTCCCGCTGACTTCAATGAACTTTGGAACTCAGTTAAAAACTCCCTCAAATCTGCATTCCATCACTTCAACTCCTATTCAGGAAATCACTTTACAACATTGTCACAACTCTGGTAAAGCTTCCCCTGCTGGACGCTCACAGAGCCGCTGTGGTTGGGTCTCAATGCGCTGGACCCATATGCTTTACACTTCCCCTGGGTTTCCGCAGACTCCAGTCACTGTCTCTGACTCCAGCCTCTGTAGCACACTTCCTGGGCAGAAATTCTGTGTTTCTGTCTGCTACCCCTTCACAGAAATAGGACCTCATGGTCTGGCTACCTTAGGCCACCAGGACCAGTGCTGACCCCCTCCCACACACCCCCCGCCCAACATACCCCAATAGTTTAAGCACACCCTTTCTCAGAGCACCAACCTTGTGAGCACTCTTGTTTACAGTCTCCTTCTCCAGGGTCACCTGATAATGGAAGCACAAAACACAGATGCTTTATAAAAAGGATTTTAAAACAATTACTCGTTACTTTAGACAGCTTAAGAAATATACATATCTAGACAAAACAACAAAATACCTGTATGCCTTTCCCAGCCTCAGTTTCCTCACCACTCTTCAGTGTTCTTTGGGCTTAGGTCAGAGTCTTTTAAGAAGTCCAGGATCTTTCCTCTTCCCCTTCCCTCTTGCACATGGCTTCTCCTCAAAAGCAGGGGATGTCTTCTCACTCCTGCAAGCAACTTTTGGCTTCTGCTTCAGATCTCTTCTCCCTCCCTCCTCTAAAATAGCCAGTGGGAGACCCTTTTTTTAATCTCCATTCTTGTCAGGTGACCTCCTGATCAGCTTAATCAGGGGATCAAAATCCCCCCTGAGGTGATCTGTTGCTTAGTTACCAGCCTACTAAGCGGACTGGTTTTCTTGGTCTGGCCACCATCTTTGTCAAAGTATGCTTGTATTTGAATAGAAAACTAGCAAGGTTTAACAATCCACCATTATCACCACCCCTTGGAATTTCAGTCCAACATGGAAAGAAAAAGATAACAGAGAAGGCAGACAAGCCGCACCTCCAAAATGGAATCAGCAGACTGACATAGATACATATGAAGAGTCTCCAATATCAAATTAAGTTCATAAACTGTAAATAGACAGATCTCCACAAATCATCACATCTGTGCTTAAAGTTAAGCACATCCTTACAGACTTTCCTCAATAGTGATACTTTCTTGACTCAGGACTTTCAGACAAAAGTATTTTCAGTGGGACTTAAGCATGTATTTAAAATTAAGCACATGCCAAAGTGCTCTGCTGAACTGGGATGAGATTACTCCTGTGCTTAAATTTAAACTTGTGCTTAACTGAATCAGGGCCTTAACCATTGTTCCAGCTCCTTGTATTCTGATTTTCAGAAGAGACATAAAACCAAGTTCTGACCACCCTTCCATTACTCATTCAGTCCAGGCCTGCCTATAATACAGTTTATAAAGTACTTTGGAATCCTTAGAGATGAGAGAGCTATATAAACTGAAGATACTGGATTGCATTTCTCTGCCTCCCTCCACCCTAAATAAATTCGGAGTACACTGTTTTAACCTTGTGCTATTAATTATTATTATTATTATTACTATAAGCTGCAGCTGGCTAATATGAGCATCAGTCAAGAAGCATGTTTTCTTCTTGAACAAAACTCAAGAATGAGAAAAACTCTGAACATTACATTGCCATCAGGAATAAATATGCATTTTTCAGTTGCTTACCAGAGAAAATGCTGGTACATTGAAACCATATTATTGTACAGGGACGGGAGTACCAGAGGATCACAGAATTCTACAAATACAGCTGCAGATCCATGAAGTAAGACCAAGCAGATCCTTGCCCACAAAGATGAGGTAAGTAAGGGATGAAGTACAATAGCCCACAGAACACAAATGTATAATGCAGCTGTAACTGTCTTGCTGTACTGCAGAAGTGGGCCAGCTAAGCCTCTGAGGCCTAAAAACTAATAACAATAAACATATCATACATATGGCTTTTATACAACTTGGATTTTATTTGTGTTGAAAACCTATTCCTTTGACAGTTTATAGTACTGACTCTTTTTCTTTTATTTGAATGCATTTTCTTTACTGATATTATTATGGTGTTCTCCTGAGCTGCCAATCTGCTCCATTACCAGATGGTTAGGAACCATGGGTGAAATCTTAACCCCACTGTAGTCAACAGGAATTTTGCCATTGGATTCCATCAGGCCAGGATTTCACCCATGTGAATATCATGGTAAGTGCTAAATAATACTCATTTCATCTCATTAAATAGTGAAAGCTGACACAGGTTTCCAATGTACGTCAACAGAACTGTCTCAATCCACAGATATTTCCTTTCTATAGGGATAAATGCAGTCAACAGGATGTTTAACATAAAGTGTGAAAAAGGTGTTGCAACACAGAGTGAAACAAGGAGGCCAAGATTGTAAATTCCTTCCATCTACATGGTAATCTGTGTATATTAAAGGCCAATATTGAGCAAGCAATGAAAGCAGAAACATATAACCACATCACATCATTCACTTGCCAGAAACATTCATACTAATTTCCACCATCAAACGTATGGTATGATTACTTAAAGGTTTTATTTTAAAACCAGTCTTACTTATAAAAACAAAATTTCCAAGATGGTATAACTTCACATCTTCATATTTTGTAATGAGTATCTATTTCAAACTGGCAACATTCTGTACTGTTGTACAAGCCTCTTTCAAGGCTATTAACACAAAATCAACTCTTTCCCGGTTTTTATGATAAAAATTGAAAGTGAACCTTGTAGTCATTCTGGACCAGCAAAACAGAGCAGACAAAGCAAGTACTGTAGTCTGATATCTTTTATTAGACCAACTTAGAGTTCAAAAATATGCAAGCCTCCTTACAAACACAGAAATGTGTGTATGTAGACCTCTAAGTTGGATCCATAAAATGTATCAAACTACTTGCTTTGTCACTATTTATATATTTTTTTAAAAAGATTTCAGAATAAACCACTCATTGATGTAAAATGTTTTAGAAAAACAAAACTGAAGCACTAACATGAGTTAGCATGTGACCCGGCTATATATAAGAGGATTTAATAAATAAAACTTAGCAGTGTACAAATAAAGTTTTGCTTCTGCTTTCTAATTTGATATGTTTCCTTTATAAAAACATCTCATGATAACTAACAATATTGGGGACCACAATAATTTCTGATTGCTCCAACTACTTCATAATAAGAATAACAATAATACTTTTCACTGATATAGCAGAGTTTTTCATCTAAGGATCTCAAAGTCCTTTATAAAGATGGGTAAATAATAATTAGCATTTTATATTGTTTTATATGTTCAAAGCACTGAACCAACATTAACTAATTAATCAGTCTTCACAACACCCCTGGAAATTGGTGAGTAACTACTATTATTCCCATTTTACAGATGTTGAAACTGAAAGGTTACAAGTCTGTGGCAGAACCAGGATTAGCATTCCTGATTCCCAGTGTTGTGCTCACTCCTCAAGACTACACTGCTTTATAGGATCTTTTTAAATCTATTTCTGTGACAGGTAAAATACCCATTTATAAAGCCACATTTTTAAAAAGTAGGTGACCACCTGAATATGCTAAAAACATGTATTTTACTGCATGTCTAAACTATTGCTGCAACTGCCACTGTACTTACAAATGGGGCGATTAATTAGTCATTTGCATGTGTAATCTCTGAATTTGCACATGCAGTCATAGCAATTGCACATGCAAATGTGGGTGCAAAATTGCATACAAATTTTATATGCACTAATCTTATGTGTTGCTTTTTTATCACCTATAAAGTCTATGAGACATAAGCATCAAAGAAAATTGCTGAAGGAGAAAGAATACAACAGTTTCATTTGTTTTGCGCCATGTGAGTAAAGGTCACTTTCATCTTCTTTAATTACTTTTCTGCAGAATTATGTCAGAAGTACACTTAAAAACATGGTTTTACACTTTGACCTTTACAAAATAGATTGGGGGGGGAAAATCACTGTGACAGAAACTGCAGCAGCATAATATTGTTGAGACAACAGTTACGTTCTTGGTACATTTTGCAGCTATTTATACTGAATGAATTCAATTTTTTGTCATTGTTTCAACAGCCCTGTTTGCAATAACCAAAACTACTTTGAAATATATATTTAATTTCTTCTTTGAGGTGGCCTCAGCATATTCCCACTTGTAGAATGAGGCCCTCTTGTGCCCCTGAGCTTTGGAACCTACTAGAAAGCCGTGCCTGTTGGGAAAACATGAGTGCCCTCCTCATGGCATGAAACTTTTAGAACCAAGGTTATAAGAAGCTGTGTGAACTCCAACTGCCTATGTTCCTTCCATTCTGCGGTAAGATGCAGGTGGAGAGACCTTCCCTTCAAGCCAAGGAATTTGGGAGAGGGTGAATTTACAAGACTTTCCTAATTCATTAATACTAGTTTTTAAAGCTTTTATTTAGTTTTAGATTCCCAGACCAACTCCAGCTCAATTCCAGGACATCATGTCCAATCTGGACCCCAAAGGTTTGAAAAAATGTCTGGTGTAAATGGTGTATCTCATACTCTCCATCTTCCCAGACTTGTGTGCACATACCTGTTGTCTAATGTGCCTTGGAAAAGTCCTTCCCCTCAACTGTTGTTTGGCTTGCTGTGTTTTTACATATCAGGCCTGAAAGGACAGGCAGGCCTGGATCCAGGCTTTCCTGATGTTAGAGACATTATGAGCTAGATCACTGGTCCAATTCAGGTTAGGGCACAATTCCCTTGCCAAATTCAGCCTTTAAGCCCCCTCCAACTGGAAAGAAGAAGCCTTCATTTTCAGGACTGGTACCATCATCCAGAACCAAATCAATGGAACACTCTGTTTCTGGTCCCATGGCTGCTCTGGTGTGAGAAAAACTAACTTTGTTGTCTGGGTCTTGCTGGTGCGAAGGTACACTCAATGTCAAGCAGTTTCTCAGCAGGGACCTACTGATGCTACCAGTGCATCTCTCTCAGTACTAGCAATTATGTCAGCACCAGGAAGACCTCTGTCTAAACCTCACCCTGTTGGTGTCAAGCTCTTCTCAGATTCAAGGTCACACCTGGGCAGAGCATTCCAATTGTGGAGACCTCTGGTCCACTTTCAATAAGGATTAGTGGAGCTCAAAAGGAGTTCTTCATGCAGCTGACACAGCTAAGGTGGTATTGATGGCTTGCCTCCACAATGTTTCCATCACAGAAATCTGCAGGGCTGATACCTGGAATTCTGTTTGCACCTTTACTCAGCACCACTTTCTTGATTTGGCATCCAGATCTGATGTATGATTATGAAGACAGTTCTACAGTAGCTGTATAATTAAAATGCCTCAGTCTATTCTTCTAGGGTTTGTACTGCTTAGTAGACTCCCACAAGTGGAAAAACATAGAGGCCACCTCAGAGAAGAAACTAATATACGGAAATGGTGACAGATATTTGTTGGCAGATCATGACAATAAAAGATGGGTAACTGGTCTAAAGAAGTACTTCTGTGCTGTACTCTATCAAACATTGCAACGGACAGTTCCATTATGGGCTCAGACTTGCTCCTACTGAAGTCACTTGCAACACTTCCACCCATCTGTAGTAATATGACTTCTCAAAATGCCATTCTTTGTGATTTTTTAAGTTGTTGCAATATCCAAAATGTAAGAAAGCAAACCTGACATTTGGAGAGCAGCAAGTGAGTTATACAGACCTATATGGCTTTTCTTCTGCTCTCTTGGAGCCCGGAAAATCCCCGTTTTCATTCCACCATTTCTCAGATCTCAAGTTGAACTTTTTTTCCTTGTGGCTGAGGAAAGCAATGTGGGACTGGCTTCGGAGCTCATCAGCACCATTCTTAAGAATGACACTTCTTTCCTGATCTCAGAAGCTAAACATTCTATTTCCACACTGCACTCATCCCCTGCCAGCCCAGAGACTGAACTCAGCTCTTTAGCATGGCAATGCACAGCACTAACCCTGAATAGACTGGGATGGCTGAAATCCTGTTATTCAGTAGTAGGATGGTCTTGTACACCACTTTGATTGCAAGTGCATTTAAGTATGAGGTATTGTTTGATGGTACCTTTTCAAATAAATGTACATTTACATTTGCAATCAGAGGTCTTTTGGATAAGATCTTCAAAATGAAGGTCCGATCTGCTTTGCCTGAACATTGAATATTCCACGGTGCTTTGTGTAAGAGTAAGAGTTTGATCTGGTGACTTGATCAAACTTCACACCCACACACTTCGGAGTAATGTGCTGGGCACTGTCCACTGACCTCCACAACAGAGGTGGCTGCGTTCTGTGGTGCATTACATTTGTAAGGCAAGATCCTGCTCATGCTGCTCTCATTGAGCGCAGAATTAAGCACTATTCTGTAAAGCCCTTTGGGACACTTGGAGATGAACTGCTCTATAAATTATTATTGTTTAACCAGAAGAACCAGGCCAGAACTTGCACTAGTATTTTCTCATGACACAGGTGGCCGGACGCTGAAATGTCATGGGTGAGTTGCAAGACCACACATCAGTGACATCAGGGTACCACGAGCTGCGCTCAAGTGTCATATGTCCAAGGATCACGGTTGATCCAGTAAAGGTGGTCACCGGTCAATTCGAAGTGGGCATATATTGTTGTCCGATGGGGCTCAGTCATGGTCCAATTGATGCAAGTCAGTGGTTCAGAGGCCCAACTGAGCATGGGATCCTCCCTTTGGTCCAGGCTGAAGTATGCCCCCAAACTCGGCCTCTTCCCAAACGGGTTCCCTAGGGTGACCTCTTCATCTGAGGGGGTCGCAGTCAGAATCTCTGGTTGCTTGGCCATTCGGGTTAGGGTTCTTGGGTGCCTCATCTGCTTCCTCAAACAGGTCTCCCTCAAAGGCTACTTCAGGGTGTTGGGACCCCCAGGTTCACAGCACGCAGGACCTCTGCGAATCCCCTCCAGTCACGACCTAAAATGACAGGATAAGCTAGCCTCGGTCCCAGGCCTACCATCATGGCCTGCATCTCCCCCTTCACCATCACGGTGACCCGAGCCTTGGGGTAGGGCTTCACATCCCTACCCCAGAGAGTAAAGTGTGAGTAATTTGTCAGTACATTAGCACTGCTGGATACAAATATACATACTGACAAGCAATTAGTTATGGAACATTTGTGGTCCAACCCTACTTGCAGATATTCACATGCTTGTCATCAAAAATTGGACCAACCTATATGCTTGAGAGGCTGGCAGTAGCCTCTGTGACAGACCATTGTTCTTCCAAGATATTGCTGTCATCTAGGTAATGAATCGAGCCAGATACTCAGGTTGATCTCCAAAGTGGGGAGGGATGTAACTAAAAGTGAGGGGCTGTAGCCAAACAGGTACTAACCTGAGCCACACAATGGAGTTTTACTGGTCCAGAGAATCTGTCCCCATGTATTCATTCTCTCCTTTAGACCAACCTTCCTGTGATTTCCACATTGAAAGGCAACACCCAGATGCCCTTGATCCATGGAAAGACAAACTTCCACTATCTCCCCCCACATCTGATCTTGCACCCTCTATAGAGACTGCCCAAATACATTCTTTATTTCCTCTACCATCATGAAACTCAGCCTCATTTTAAGTAAACTAATGTAACTGTAAAATAAATAGTTTATGATGTGAATAATATTATTTTCATTCTATGTTCCATTTCCAACCTTCAAAGTATGAAAACTGTACTTGTATTTTAATTTATTTTATAGAAAGACTATTTTTTGAGATGGTGGAAAGTCCCTGATCTGTCATGATATATATATAGCTCTGCTGTAAGCACAACCACAGATATGGAAAGTCTACTTACAGCCAGCTCAGCAATGAATACAGATTCATGAAACTCAGAAGGAAGGGTATGGTAAAAATTCTGCTTCCTAGGTTCCATGAAGAGAGCAACTGAAATATTCATGTTACATGGGCTTTGCTTTTTGTTTTCCTTCAGAATGAATGATTTTAGATATTGGTGTGATTTGTTTAGATAAATTATTTTAAGGATTAATGGATGGTTCAGGTAATTAGTACAGAGATATAGGACTTCATCTTCCTCCCACTGAAATAAATGGCAAAATTAATTGACTTCAGTGATACAGGATTGGGCCAAAAGACCCACTACTACACCTCTAATGTCATTGGTTCAAATCCAGACAAGGTCCATAATATCCAGAACAGAGCAAATGGTGGGGGGAATATTTCTGTAAATTCTGAATCAATTTTCAATTAGACTATGTCCACACCCCTTTCCACAAACACTCATGTGAACCATTTTTTGTTCACACAAATGTTTAGGAATTACTATTTTTGACCAAAATTGGTTTTCACATGCAAACATGGGTATTCGTGAACAAATGTCGATATTTGCTACTCATGACAGAACTGCTTATCCCCTGTTTATAAAGTTTCAGTCATCTTATCAAGGAGCAGAAACAATACCATGTGACGGAGGTGACCAGCGATACACCACAAGTAACCAATAGCAGATATAGCGGAAATGAACAAACATCAGGCTGAGATACACTTGCATAAATTATTTCTTGAACAATTATGAATAAATAAATTAACAAAAATCACATATTGTTCACAGATAATTCATTAACAGAAAAAGAACTATATTAATTGGATAAATTGTTCACTGTGAATAGTGCCCATCCATAGTTTTATCAGTCTATCTTTTGGTTTTCTATAGCACCTATCACCATAATATCTGAGTAGTGATCAGAACTCATTACTATCTGAGGGCTGTTTGATGGCCAACATCAAATGAGCTGTTAGCCTCAAACACTGTCCTGGTAAACTAGATGTTCTCATCACACACACAGCAGTTGGCACCACAGTTGACTGTCCCAGCAGAAAGCACAAGACTGAATGAGCAAAAGATTAAATTACCTGTACATAGCTTTCCAGGTCAGGGCCAATGAACAGGGATAATGTCGAAAAGCCTGCCATACTGCAATATGGTTAAAGAGAAAACCTGAGTTTCCAGTGCAGTCAACTCATCAACTTTCACCAGTGCTATGAAAAGATAAATGATGTTATTTTTAGGCACAATGCACCAATCATAAAAATAAATATTACATCATAAACATGCAGACATATCCAACCTTCAAAAACATATGTGACACAACATAATGTTACCCAGGTAAAAAATGGACAAGGAATTAGAGCTTTAATAAAAGAACCCAGGAAAACACAAAGAGATGGGTAAGGCCAGGTACAATTCAGTTCAAATTAAATTAATAGTTTCGGCTGAGTAAAAATGAGGACTTTTTTTTACAAAAGTCGAAATGACATTCAAAACATTTTGTTCAACCCAAAAGAATTTTTTTCAGTTTTTTGTTTCGGCAAATGAAAAAAAAAACTGTTCAGAACTAACCAAATTTAAAAAAAAAAAATCATTTCAGCCACCAAACCACAAAGTCAATTTGCTCAGCTCTAGTTAGAAACCCTGATCTGGGAAACAGTTTTTGTTACATTTCTGATGTTTTAACTATTGCTCTGTGACTAAGGTATAAAGCTGTCTCTGTAAAAACAGACCTGTCTGTCTACTGTTCAGAGATACTGAAGTAATAACTGATCCATTATAACATGGAAAAAGAAAGCCTAAAGTGGTTAGTGAAGCAGCCGCAATAGCAGCAGCTCTAGCAGCTGTAACTGCTTCAGCAGTAGCAATTTTTGCAGCATGACCACGAACATCATCAAGAAGCCAAGCAGAGATTCTTGTTGCAGGTAATGGAATGGATAATGCCACATCTCCTCCCACATCTATGGAAGGAGGATTCCTAAATAAAATGACAACTAAGGATGACATAGAGTGTGTATATAGAGATCTCTGATTGCACGTTGGTGGTCCCATGACCATTGGGTACTCAGGCTGGCCCTATGCCTGACTAGGAAGCCTCAAGCAGTATGATGATGTACACCTCTGAAAGTTATTATGAATTACACAAAGCACCCATTTGGAATGGACCAGGGCTTAAGAAGGAAGAAAATCACAGGTAATTCTGAACAGAAAAGTTTTCCACAGCTCTCACCCTTGATCACTGATTCTGGGATCTCTTCAACTGTTGGCTAAAGCTAGAAACATGTTACCGTGAGGAAATAGTGTAGTTAGTTGTCCTGGAACAATTCTATATAGTGCTGCTGGCAGGACCCAAGGAGTGGATTTGCCCCATCAGGCAAATACTTCAAATGTGATGATATGCTTAGAGGAGAAATTAGTGGGAGCCAGTCTGGACTGCAGGACTGTGTGGTTCAGCTGGGAATAAACTAAGGTTAAGACTTATGCCCCCAGAGCATGTCCTGATGGTGAGCAAAGGGATAACAACTAAATATGGGACAAGTATCACTCCAGGGGCTGATGAGCAGATGCTGGATGCGGGGTCCCCCAACCCGGGGTCTGAGTGGGGGCGAAGAACTGCCTCCATTAGCAGAACCTTCAGCCACTGTTCCCTTTCTTTAATAGTTCTGGGCTGGAACTCGCAACAGATCCTACACTGGTCCTTTTGGCGACCTTCCCCTAGGCACCTTAGACAAGAAGCATGGGGGTCACTCTTTGGCATGTGCTTAGCACAGACCACACAGGTTTTGAAACCCGGGGACCGTGAAATACCCCAGTTCCCGGGAGTTGGAAGTGGGGGAACCCCCAACTAACTCTAACTAACTACTATACACTAACTACAGAGAACTATATACAAAAAACAGAGATAAAGGCACTTGCTAAGCAAGGGCTATGGGATGTTTCAGCTAACCATCACTGGTGGTAAGAAGGAACTGAGGAGGTGGTGGGTTGACCCAACGGAGGCTGCTATGGGAAAAATCTGAGGAACTGAGTAGATGGTGGGTGACCCAATGGAGGCTGCTATGGGAAAAATCTTCCAGCTACTGTGCACGTGTGCATGCACACACCTGATTGGAATGGACATGAACAAGCACTCGAAGAAGAAACAGTAGCTCCAGGAACAGGAAACAAGACCACCTTGAAGAAGTCTGGCCTCTAAACTCACAACTTGGGTCTAGGTGAGAAATCCTGAGCTGGGAACATTTTTGTTGCATTTCTGATGTTGTGTGGACTGTTGCTCTGTGGCTGGGATACAAAGTTCTTCCTGAGAAAAGGAATATGACTGACTGACCCTACATTGGTTGTGCTAAATAGCTCCACCAACCTACCATACCAAATCCTGCAAACTACTGAGTGACACTTGCTTCCAAATTACTTCAGCAGGAATTCTGAGTGCACTCAACTGTCCCTGAAGACAGTTAGGGGCACCCACCAGAACGCACTCAGTACTACAACTGGGTGAATAATGGATTTTTCAGACAGCTGGCAATTACCAAAAAAAAAATTGGTGGGGGGAAGGTTAATTTTGTGTTGACACAAAAACTGTGAATTTTCTAAGTTTTCAGCAAATCAAAAAGTTTTTAAAAAATCATTTCAGGTCAAAGAAAATGTTTTAATTTTGAGTGTTTCTTAATATTTGAAGAACACTTCAAAGCTAAGTCATTAAAAACAAAAAAAATCAAAATGTTCCATTTAAAAATGCTGAAATGAAATATTTTTACTTTTTCAGAATATTTCTTGAGGGAGGGGGCTGGTTTTGACACAAACAATTTAGCGACACAGACACAAATTTGCAAACCATTTTGGTGTCATCAAATCTGCATTTTTTTCTGAAAAAAGTTTCAGTTGAAAAATTTCACCCAGCTCTACTCAGCAGCTTGAAAGATTGGGCCCTTTATTACCAGTTCACCTTGAGTGATCTAACTTCAGTGGAAAATGACAGTGCACAAAAAATCTCTCTGAAGACACTTGGCACCTTGCAGGCTGAAATTAATCCTAAAGCACTGGAGATAGCTGAACCCTTCAGAAGGCCCTGGAATTGTAAGCTTTAACTGAGAATGAAGGTCAGTTAATTATACTGCAGAAAAGCTATACACACACACACACACACAGGTATGCACATGCTGGTGAGAAACTCAGCAGTTATATTATAGTCTGCCATAGAAACAAGGCATCTTAGTCTTCAGAGATGAAAACCTCTTATTCGTCCTTCGAGTCCAACTCTCTGTCAGTACAGAACTGTTCCATACAGCACTTTTAAGTAATAATATTTAGCTGTTATTCAGCTACATTTTCTAGAGTGTAGCCTGATTTTAAAAGACCCAAGTAATGAGGTGTCCATCACTTTTCTAGGGAGACTATGTCACAGACTAAGACATTTGTGTAAAGAAGTTTTTCCTAATATTCAGTCTAACCTGTCTTTTTATTACTTCCATTTCTTTACTCCTAGTTCCATGTCTATGTACCACATCAAATAATTCCTCTTTCCCCCTTGGTGTTTATACCTTACAAATATCTGTAGACTATTTTCAGGTTCATTGCCTCTTCAAAGACACAAACTCTTCATCTTCATTTACCCAACCTATATAGATTCCCTTAAAGTTTCTTCATAAATCAATCCCTTCAACCCACTCATCATTTTGGTTGCTCTTCTCTGAACTCCTGCAAGATCATCAATTAATGTATGGTAACATGCCATTTCTGTGCCAGAGAACAGATACAAATTAGTCTTTTAATCAAATGTGAAAATATTAACTCTGATATACACAGAGAAACACAGTGGGCTTTTTTCACTGCTGAGTTGCATCCCAGGTGATCCTATTGAGCCAAGTCCATTCCTAGTGTAACTCTGCTAAACTCAATACAATTTCACCATGGATTAATTTTGTCCATGGGATTGTATGGGGTGTATGTCATTGCTGAATTTGATCCATTTAATTCATATGGCTGCGGCTAAATGAAATTCAGTGTCTCTAATAAAAATGTGCTAATGGAAAGAAAACATTTTTCTGAATTAGTGATAATTTCTGAGTAAGCTTTACTTTTGATTTAAATTGATTAATATTGATATGCTTTATAAGTCCAATTATCAAATTAAACACAAAATTATAAGAGATTGAACTGCGCTGTCTGAACCATTGTCACATAATTGCACTCTAGTGGCCTGATTTTCATAGGTTCTGAGTAGAGCTGAGCAGTTTGCAAAATTTGCGTGGAGGCTGAAACCACTCAGCTCACCAGACGGTGATCTGACTCAGATCAGCACACAAGTCTATAAAGTTAAAAACCACACATCAGGTTAAATATTCAAAAACTTTTAAGATATGCTTTGTTTTTCTCATGTCCTTCAATTTCTAGATTATAGAAGCCAAGGTATCACATGCAACAAATAGAATTGTGGTGGCTATGCCATGGCAAAATTAGGCCAATGGTATCTGTACAACAGGTTTTCATTGAACTGTAAAGGAAATTGCTCATGTAAGGTACTAGTGAAAGGGTTTCACCCCTGCAGACTTGTATTCTGATCTGGCTCAGCTCACAACCTGGTGAGATGAGTAGTTTCAACCACCATATAATGCCAACTGCTGAAGAGGGTTCCAAGACTCAAAAATAGTCTTTATCAAAGAGATTATGGGAGTGGTGGTTTGACATTTTTATAGCAGAGGGATGGGTTAAACAAATGACCAGGGAGGAAACCACACAGTTTATCCAGAGCAGTTGAAGAATAATCAGATTGCTTGATGCTATCATTTTATCTCCAGGTTCTTTAAAACACTCAACATTTCACATCATGCTTCACGCAAAAATTGATTATCTGTTCAAATAAAAATATCTCTGTGGTATATAAACAACCTTTATCTTAAATACACTAGCATAATGGTATTATAATATTATATAGTATTATATCTTAGATATGAGAGATAAAGAGCTACTATTTCTAATTAATGAGCCACAGGGGGATGTTTGTAAATTTCAATGTCGTGTTGATCCTAAAGGGAAAACAAACTTCACTCTAGAGTTTACTTCTAGCAGAGAATCTTTCCTGGAGGCTTTCTACACTCTTTCCAGTCAGCTTTATTACATGTAAAGAGCTTCCTGTTGCTACATGAAAACTATATTTCAGTCTGGATTTCTGAAAACAGGGTAGGGATGGAGCTGATGATCATGTTTATTTGCATTTACACAACTCCATCAGAGACAATAAGGCAGCCAAAATAACCAAGAGTTAGATCTAGTCCATTTGGGCAATACCTGGAACAACCAAAAAGTTAGACCTAATCCATGGAACAGTGCTTTTAAAATAAATCACCCAAATCTTTGAAGTATATATATTCGTGACACAGGGAGAATGCGTTGTTTGGAGTGATATACTATGGGACAGAGAACTTTTACCCATAAATCTTTGGAGCATAAAGCAGAGGGACTAATGGTAAGGCCTGTTTCTTTCTATTCATTCCTGTGTCAGAAAATTAAACCAATCACCATAATGTTTAAAAGGAAAGGAGAGAGCTTTCTTGTTAGCATTCAGAATGGTTCCTCCTCCTTTTACATCAGTTGCTAAGTGAATGTCATATATTATTTTCATTTCCCCCCTTCCCGATTCTGCTTGGTGACATCTGTAAGTCCAGACATCCACAGACTTCACTGAAAGTCCTCAGAATTAAGGGTCTGATCCAAAACCCTTTAAAGTCAGTAGAAAAACTACCTCTGACCACTGTGCACTTTGAATCAAGCCCTTACCTTGGTGTCATTGAGAACAGAATCTGAGTTTTAGATTGTAGGAACCTCTCCAGATCTTGGTGCTCTGTAGTGTTTCCTGGTTGTTGTGAAAGGCCCAAACGCTCATAAAATACAGGAAGTGACATGCCTTGATTTTTACATCAGTTTATTGGCCGCATATAGGCGTCTAGAGTAGACCGAGGGAACATTGTTAAGGCACCGACATCCCAACACTCACACACTATCATCAGATCCCCCTTTCTGTCACAAGTTGAAGGACGCTCTAAGAGCAGTACTTTTCCTAAAATGTTCATTGTATTATTGAATAGATCCCAGATGCAAGGCTGCGAGAAAATAAGTGCTTGCATATGCCTTCTGCATATCCCAGTTACCGGGCGGGCGTGTAATAAGCGCTCCTAAGGACTGAGAGAAATAAGGAGTTTAGACCTTCTGAACACAGTGGTTCTCTCCAGCTGTCACTTCAAAACTATTCTCTCTTGCTCTTGTCTTCCTCACAGCTGCTCGGATCGCTTCAGATTTCCAGACGCAGAAGTGTGTCAAACGCGGGTGTCTCCTGTGTGGCTTTTCTGTGATAGGTTGTCAGCACTTCTGAGGCTGCTTCTCACAAACGCTTGCCCACCTTTCAGATCTTACTGATTGCCTCAGTGCAGTATATCCACAAAACACAACTCTTCTTTTTGTCTTCCGCAGTCAGGTCGGTTTTTTCAAATGCATACTGAGGATTTTCTGTAGCAAAGAATTCATCCCTACGCTTTCCATGTTAGTCAAACAAACCTAGAATATAGTGACATATTTCAGCAACTTTTAATTGCAATGTAGCTGCAACCCGAAGGGTTAAGAATCCTGCTGCTGAAAAGCGCACGGCCAATGTGACACTTACATTAGAAATCAGATGCCCTTTCAATCAAAAATTTAAATAAATAAGTAAATAAAATAAAGTACAAAATTGCTGGGTCTGCTGAATTTTATCCCCAAATTATTTTTCATCATTTTTCAATCCAGCTATATTATTTATAGTTTTATAATTCATGGGGAAATTCCAGCTTACCTCCCCACCCCTCAGAAAAGTTAAATATTAGCGCAAATAGTGTTCTAGGTGTAACGTCTGATCAAATGGCTAAACACCAAATTATTTTTCTATTTTCTTCATACTTTTCGTACCAAGGCAGGAGATAAAAGACCTTCTTTACAGGGTGTATTATTGTAAACACTGACCACCAGCAGCTGCAGATGTTAAATGTAAGAATCACCAAAATATCAACATTTTAACTGCAATATTCTGAAGAGAAGGAAAAGAGGAAAGGAAGGTCTCAAAGCAGCCGCTGCCTGCTGCACGTCCACTGGTTTCACTGGTTAGGGTGTCTGCGGGATAGAGATAAGCCGTGGGTGCAACAACTAAGCTAACATTAATTATTTAGAGAGAAGTATTTGTCACTTTGCAAAAGTGATAATGCTATCTGTTGGGCTGGGCTGTTCGAAGAACAGGGCTGGCAATGTAAATGTTGCCAGACTTTCAGTTATGGTCATTCTTCACTTCATATGCCATAACAATTAAGATATAGGCAGAGCAGTATTCAGTGCAAAATATGAGTTTCGGATAAGCGCTTCATTTTTAGAACTCCTCTAACGTATTCCTCATTAAAACAAAAAACTAAATAACCAAAAACCTACTTAATGGGCCCCGAAAACGTGATAGGACAAATACATCCTATGACTTTCTATCTCAGCTGGGTATCCCTGGCAAGAATTGAAGAAATATACTTTGTATGCACTGCAAACCAGTTTTCTGTGTATAAACAAAGCTACCTACAGACGATTAAGATAAACTCATTTGCACCGTCGATATTAATTCATACTTTAAGGGAAAGAGATATTTAAATGACAGCTCTCTGGCTCTCGATGAATGATCTATCAAAAATGAAAGTTTGAAATGTCAAAAACACACATTTCGGTTTTAGTGTTGCAAGAGGAAAAACTAGCTCAATTATTTCAATTAGCTACTAGATCTGGAAAGTTTCATTTATTTGTCAGCAATTTACAAGTTAATTTCCGGGTTGGTGTCATCATAATTTCTGTCTTTTTGAATGTCCAATGACTCAAAAAGATAATGATATTCTCCACATGTGAAGTTTTAGCATTTTTGATAATAATTGCCCATTTTCTGGAAGCCAAAACCTAAATAGGAAACAGCTTTGAATACACTATTTGCCCAGAGTTCTTGAGTCTGTGTCATTTGCTGAAGTATTTTTAAAATACTTCATTTTTACTATACCGTCTTGCTGGAGTTACACTGTTTACGTCACTAGGGAGTCAAATAGTCAAGTATTTGATATCCTGTTTATACAGAGTCATCACATCGACAAGAGTGTCGGTGTCTCTACATCTATTTCAAAATTGCTATTTATTCTTTAAAACAAAGGTAGAGACGCTTTTTTATAACAATGATGCCCTTTTTCTGATCCTTTGAACTTTTTTAAAAATTGTAGTTCGACTTCTGTTAAAATGTGAGGTAATTCTGTACCTTATATTAAATGTTGAGTAACTGTTTATGTTCCAGGGGAAAATAAGAGTACAGGAAGACAACCAGTATTCTGAACATTTGAAATATTTACCATATGGAGCCATAACGTGTATGCCCCGTGCACCCCGAGATCCATTGGAAGAATGTGGTTTTGAGCCTGTAAATCCTAATCAGAGACTCAGTTAGTGACTCTCTTTTATTTAGTGAGATAACTGGCATAAACCAAAATGAACATCTAATCCGTTATACAATGCAAAGGGCACTGGAAACTGCAGTCATTCTGCAAAGTGGTACTTGTGCTGACCTTTGCATTGATAAACAATTAAATTTTTTAGTAGTTAACAAAGAGAATCTTAATATAATTATGCCACTATAGAAACGTAACATAAACCTACCTCTAAAAATGAGTCAGCATAAAGAGCCATGTGAATTATACGTGCAAATCTAAGCAAGATTTAATATGATAGGAACAGGAAACCGATTACCCTACGATTCTCGGGAAAAAATACAACCAAAACTATAGCTTCCATGACATTTCAAAGTAAAAGTTCCTCAGGAAATAGAATGCTAAGAAATCTGACATCAGTAGGATGATTTTCATGTTTACCTTCTTTCAAACAAGTTGTCCATCAAACAGATATTTAGTTGTTCCCAGCAGTCAAATATTTTGACAGGTGGAACCAAAAGAGGAGACAAACAATATTTCCTTTCTAAAATAAGCATTAAACAAATTGTATTACTAGTTCTTTAATGCACATACCCCTAGGGGTACAAAGAGGTCTTCCAGGGGGTACATCAACTCTCTAGATATTTGCCTCCTTTTACAACAGGCTATGTAAAACGCACTAGTGAAGTCAGTACCAACTAAAATTTCATGCAATTACTTGTTTATACTGCTCTATATACAATACACTGAAATGTAAGTACAAAATTTATATTCCAATTGATTTACTTTATAGTTATATGGTAAACGTGAGAAAGTAAGCAATTGTTCTGTAATAGTGTGCTGTGACACATTTGTATGTGTATGTCTGATTTTGTAAGCAAGTAGTTTATAAGTGAGGTGAACTTGCGGTACAAGACAAATCAGACTCCTGAAAGGGGTGCAGTAGTCTGACAAGGTTGAGAGCCACTGCTTCAGCGAATTGTTCCTCCTCCCCACACATATGGTTCATTATTAAAACAATATATTTCAAAAAAATCACATCCCTGGTTGAGTGTTATGGCGAATGTTCCAAAACAAGAAACGGGGTAAGACTTATAGATAGACTACCAACAATAAGGTAGATGCTGACCAAATCCAGATTATTTTATTTCATTACTTAGAGCAATATATGCTTAATTCAATATATAGTGACAAGCACATTTTCAAACACCCGCTAATTTACTTAAGCAAATCATACAGATCACATTTTGTAATTACATATACATGGGTCTTTTTCTCTCTGTTTTTTTAAAGCGATCTTGCTCCGGGACAGTCTAGTTCCTTGCACTTACCTTCTCCGAAACTTTATTTTACCGTCATTTGTTACCCTGAAACGTAATAAAAGGGTTACTTCATTATATTCTACATTTTCATTCCTACAATGTCACAATAAAGGACTAACTTTCGTTTCTTAACATTTACAGGTTTCAGAGTAACAGCCGTGTTAGTCTGTATTCGCAAAAAGAAAAGGAGTACTTGTGGCACCTTAGAGACTAACCAATTTATTTGAGCATGAGCTTTCGTGAGCTGTAGCTCACGAAAGCTCACGCTCAAATAAATTGGTTAGTCTCTAAGGTGCCACAAGTACTCCTTTTCTTTTAACATTTACAGATGCACACTACTGATAACAGAATTATCAAGCACACGGGTGAAACAAAAGCTTTCAGAGATCCGATTTGATGCATATAAATCATCCAATCCTTAAAAACCTGGTCGGGCGTGCTTGATTCATGTGGTGGTAAAAAATACGCATGAAATTAAGCAGCCCTATGACCAGAAGACGTCCACTGACAGAATCATCTGGGGTTGAATTGTGTTAACTGGAAGCTGCTGATTCCTTCAGCTTCACCGTGAGGACTGAGCCCTGAAACGCAGACTGAGTCCATTTCCTCTGCAGGTTTCCCCAAACCATGTTTCGCGAGCCTTTTTTTTTTTCGTAGTGACTAATCGGATGTCTTGGAAGCGATTTGTTTTTTCCAATTGCCCTTGTGCGAGCCCCGTTCAGGACTCCTTAACCCTTTCGACGCTTTGGACTCGAGAAGTAGGTCCAAGGCTTTATTTCTTGGGGCTGACCCAGGTCCCCGCTTCGTGGAGCTTTAAGGGATTGAAATAACAGGAGAAACTTCAGGACTCCCAGAAAACTCCAATCCTTATGAAATAAAACTTAAATAAAATAAAAAGATTGATTCAGATCTTCTAGTAGTATATATTTCGGTTTAGACACAGCAACGGGGTGTCGGATTATGCCGGCAGGCATAACCAAAACACCTACCTATTACCCACCCTCTCCCATTTAAATATAGCTGATCCTCTTCCAAGAACGAACCGTACTCATAAAACTTTCTCAGCTGTATTTGACAGTTAGAAAGAAAAGGAGAGGTTTTAAACTGAGGTTTCTAACAATCTCTCTCCGTGTCAGGGAATATTTTTTTCCTTTTAAGAGTTTACAGCGGTTAAATTTGCTTTGTTTAGTGAGTGTCACTAAACTAGCATGAACCAGATATGGAGGTGTAAAAGTGGCGAATTTTCCTACTGTAGGCTATAGTCTCACAAAGCATGAGCTAAGAAACACAGCTTGGATACCTGCCATTTCACTGTAAAAAAAAAAAATCTATTCGTTCCTCCCCTCCCTTCCCCCTCCGAAATTAGAACTGACGTTTTCTGTTCTCGTTTCTGTTATAGGTGAATAGGAGGTGGATTTCAATCGTTATATAGAAGCCTCGCTGATTTCATACTAAGAAGCGAGACTGAAATGTAACCACTTCAGGAAACAATGAGCTATTAAAAGCTATTAGTAAACAGTGCCGAATCAAATAAACATAATTGTTCTAAAAGTAATTTTTTAAGGAAAGAAAGGTCCCGAATCTCAATAGAAGGAAATTGGATTTGATCTCCTTGACTGATTCTGAAATCTGATACTTTACTGAAAGTGTTTCGGTTTGTTTGTTTGTTTGTTTGTTTCCCAAGAAAAATATAAGAGCTTGCAAAAAGATGTAAATAAAGGAACACTACAAATTGGTGATCAGCCATAGTAAATCTCTGTTTAGAATCCATAAATTTAAGACTACGAATGTTGGCGTTTCTGTTTGACTGCTCGTGCTAACGACATGATTAAAAAATAATAAACAAAAACACAGAAAGGGTTTCTTTCCAAAAGGCGGAGTTTCCCAGGGTATTTCATCTGAACTCTTTTTGTCATTTTGAATATAAATGGACGCGGAGTCTGACTGATTTCCTTAGACACTCGCTCGGCACGAGTGGGGGTGTAGTGTTATATGTACTGATCACCGATCAAACTGCTAAAATGTGTCTTCTCGCTTCTTCAGTGTTCAACTGTGTGTTCAACATGCAGCCTCTTCAACTATGTCCAACTTCACTTCAAACATGAATAAACTATAAACCTTAATTAAGGACATCGACACTTGGTATATAGCCCTTGCACAGCTTGTATTAAAGTGTATTAAACAAGGGATATGGAAAACAATATGGTAAGAACTTTTGGTTGTGAACTTCACACACTCCCTACGGTATTAAGAAAGAAAAACGGTATGTATCATGCAATAGCTCTTACCTACGTGACATCTATTATCGGATCAGCTAAGTAATCCAAAGCCCTTCTGAAAATGAAGTGCCATTCTTCCGATTACCTCCTTTCTAAACTTGGAGAAACTTATATTTGCTTAAATAAGCTTTTTACTAACAAATTAGCTATTAAAATAACCTTAAATTGCATCTATTCTGACTGAACTGAAAACCGCAAGTAGGGAGGCAGTTTTGACAATGCTAGATATGAGGCGAGAATCGGACTCCATGTAACTCTGTATGCAGAGTTGTAGCCCTTGCTGGATCCCAGGATGTTACCAATAAAATATATTACCTCACCCACCTTGTCTCTCCATCTAACTTTGTTTATTTGTAAACATGGGACTAGCAACCACCAAATAAAGTGCTTACAGAAACTGCGGAAAAGAGCTCCACCCAAAAGATCCGTTGCTGACGGTAAGAATTGGAGTGTGTACAAGTTTGCAAGCTGGCTGTTCAGTGCTGACTCAGAACAGCAATGTAGGTCACAACGAGTTTCCTAGTTATCTAAATTCAAACAATTCAGCTTTTCTTTAGAGACTTCTAAAGAGCTGTTGTAACATTTCTAAACGCAGTGCTTTTACTGAAGTTTAACCTGTATCTGGGCAATTACATTAAGTTTGTAAGCCAATGTTTGGAGTCTGCATGCTTGTTTTTTGCTATTCAATCATTTCACCTTCTGCTTTTATCCTCTGTCCATCCCATCACAATAATCCATTTCATTTGTCCTAAAAGCGTATTTTTAAAAGTTGTTCCAATGACTCACAATTTTTTTTCATGAATTTTAAGAAAAGCATTTAAGTGACAGCCTAACTACTGTCTATTCAATTCTGGACTCTTACCAACATCGTTTACTCATTAGTTTGACTCTTTATTACCATCATTAAGTGTTCATAGAACTAATCGTATACATTATACAAAGAGCTATTAAAAACCTGCACCTTCTGAAACGGCTTTAACTCTACACACTGAAGGAACTCAGTCTTCTGAGTGACACCGAATATTGTCTATTTTCAGACTCGTTTAGTTAAATTCTTTTGTTTTTTACTATAGCACGACAGAAAAAAATACTCATAGTGCTAAGGAAAAGTTCAGCGAGGATGAGCTAAGTGTCGGATGTTGCCGAAACAGCAGCAGCAGCATGGAGAGAGCGGGAGATCTTATTCCCAAGCGCAAAGTTGCAAAGAAGATAAACCAGGATCAGGATATAAGATGAGAAAATAACTACAATATATGTATTTATTTCACTGTCGTTCAGAGTTTTCTATTCTCATAAAAGTGAGCCACAGTATCAGAGCCCCTCCGCCACTTTGCATTAAGATGAGTTTGTGCGCGCGCGAGGAGGGTGGGGGTTTCAAAGTGTCTATTATATTTTTTTCAAGAAAATAATCCGTTGTAATGTAACATAAACAGTAAGGAAATCATCCGGCCAGGTACAGCAGGATACGAAAGAAAAAACCTCGAAATCTCACCAGGTCCACAGTTTCTGTTCAAACGCAGTATATCTCCCTGCATGTCCATTGCATATTTTTTTAGAACAATCACATCACTCGGTTCATTAGCACAAAATCGTTTAGCCTCACTTCTATTCTTCAATTCCTTTCTAATGTGCATCAGTATACATATATAGATGGCCTTCGTGCTAGCAGAAAGGATTTCTCCTTCTAAACATAGAAGGTTCTCAATCCTGCAGAAGTTTCATGAATGTTTCGTTGAGGTAACAAGAGGCAGCACCAACTTCTTGCTGACCCAAGATAGGAACTTAGAGAGCGCTTAGCAGGTTCAAACAAGACCAGTGCCTGGCCTCCCTTTCCATCCTTTAGGCGCAGACTCTCACGCAGAGGGTACCACTGGAACCATCCCATCCAATGGCCCCTAAGAGACAGGTGACAATAAACTCCAAAAAAGCACATATTCTTTCAGCTTGGTAACGACACAGTTAAGCTCACAGAAAGATCCTAGGTCCCATGTGAGTTCATCGTGCCAATTTATCTTGAATCATGGAATATCAGGGTTGGAAGAAACCTCAGGTGGTCATCTAGTCCAACCCCCTGCTCAAAGCAGGACCAACCCCAACTAAATCATCCCAGCCAGGGCTTTCTCAAGCCTGACCTTAAAAACCTCTAAGGAAGGAGATTCCACCACCTCCCTAGGTAACGCATTCCAGTGCTTTACCACCCTCCTACTGAAAAAGTTTTTCCTAATATCCAACCTAAACCTCCCCCACTGCAACTTGAGACCATTACTCCTTGTTCTGTCATCTGTTACCACTGAGAACAGTCTAGATCCATCCCCTTTGGAACCCCCTTTCAGGTAGTTGAAAGCAGCTATCAAATCCCCCCTCATTCTTCTCTTCTGCAGACTAAAACAATCCCAGTTCCCTCAACCTCTCCTCATAAGTCATGTGCTCCAGTCCCCTGGACTCTCCGGTCTCCGCTCACTAGTGTGCTTTACTATTTTAGCCCAAATGTGGAAAAATTAAATGTGTAGCAGAAAGAGGGGGTTCAGCGATTGGAAACTGAGAATGTAAACAACACTTACGACCAAGCCAATTTGATTTCGTTTCACTGGAAGGCCCTCTTGCAATAGTCCTTGTTTATGTTCAGTTCAGAGGCGCTGTCCTCGGGCCAGAAAAGTGAAGTTTCATTTCTTGGATGGCGAAGGAGTCTTATAACTTCAACATCAGCTTTAAATGGAAGGTTTACATATTCTCTCAGCAAATGCATTGTCATTAACAGTCCAGGAATCTCCCCTGACATACTCTCCTCCCCTCCTACATGGTAGGAATGGAAAGGGAACTGTCATATATTCTCGGTGCACCTGCGGAGAGGAGAGCGAGTGTTCTACAGGTCTTAGCAATGCTGCTTCCCCTTTCCTGCGTACTAATCTCTTGAGAATTTGCCATGGTAGGGTTGTAACAAATTCGCTTTAGAACTCTTTTGTAGTAAAACAGACGAGTGTATTCAAATATATAAACATGAGAGGCAATGGAGGCGAACATAGAAGTGACAGCAGTGGGCACTGTGACATGCACTTGTAATAGCTTAGTGGGTGACACTCAGGGAAATCCATTCCTCTGCACATATAAAGCATACCCTGGATGCGAGCTCCAGAGTCCCTGAGAACGGGGAGAGTAGCTTCTCCCTGCTGCTGCTGTGCATGGCAAGGCAGCACTAAGCAGGCACTGGGCAGGCTGGTGCTCTCCTCAGACACGTGATTGAATCTGATCTCTGGCGCTGCTCAGTGGGGTGGTGGAGGAGGAGGAGAGGAGGAGGTCGCAGTGTTGTGTACTTAAGGTCGCGTGTGTGCTGGGTTTTTCTCCCTCTCTCTCTGAGGAGTAAGTGCCACTGCTCCGCCTTCTCCTTTTCGCAATGTTGACGCAATCTATAAATAGTGGAACAAAAGGACCAACTTCCTCGCAGCTTTGCTGAAACTGCACAAAAAAGGCAACAGGGGGGTTGTTATTTTTAATTTTTTTTTCTGGTTAAACAGCCGAATCTAGGGGTAATATCGCTACTGGAAGATTTTTCTTCGCTTTTTCATAATACTGGCAGCATCCTGCAACTGGCTATTTTGCTTTACAGTAAGAAGGTGTTTTTCCTCCTCTGACAGATCAGTAAGTGCAATTCACATATTTCCTTTTTGGGGGGAAGGGAGGATTCTTGCTCTTCTATCTGCTACATTGCAAAGGCAGAGGGATAGAGAGGAAATAAAGAGGGACTGGGATTTCAGAGCGGGAGCTAAGCCATAGTGGTTTGTTGTCACTGAACTGGAGGGGCATGCGAGTGTACGTGGGTCTCATACTGTAGGGGTGTGTGTGTGGTGAGGAGCTGGGTTAGTCGGGATATCAACTGTCACATATTACAATAGGTTATAAAAATAGGGATAGTTATTGCCGCTTACAGAACAAAGCTGACGCACTAACCAATATTAAACAGGCTTTTGTTAGAAGGGAAATGTGTGTGCGTGCGTGTGTTAGGGGGAGCTGCCTGAAGCAAGTTGCTGTGTTAAAAAGGCTAGTAGGAGATTTGTTTACCGCCAGAGCTCATCGGCGTGTTTACTGAACACACGCCGTACTGGGCTCGCCTTTACCCAATCTGCTGTCGGAGCTGGAGACAGAGAGGATCTTCCACCTTTTCACAATCACTCAGGATTAAAAGGGAGTGCATTTGTGCTTGCCTGGGGGGTCAGCCTCCCCCAATCTCCACGACATGTTGGGGGCAGCTAATACCGAGCAGATAAACCCCCTCCCCTGTAACCAGAGGATCGGTGTAAGCGTAGGCAGCTACTGGCCAGGGAGAGAATTACATCATCCCCCCTCCAATTATGTTACCTTTTGAGCTCTACACGGTGAGAGATCATGGAGGCAATGACATTGCTCTCACAGAAAGCGGAGGGGAAGGGAACAGTGTGCTTGAGAGGGTCCCAGGCACACAGAGGGAGATACGCAGCCCAGGCGCGCGCGCCCTCACACACAGAGCTATAATGACCAGAACCTAGTGTTTACAGTGCTCACGCAAGCGTATTGTGACGTCATTTGATTGACAGCCAGTCCCTCCAGCCCGGCTCTGTCCAGAGCCTGACAACCGACTCTATATTAAGAAAAGAATGAAGTCACCGCCACCCTCACAACAGCAGGCGGCGGGGCCTTCCGCTGGCTCCCTCCCACCTTTCTCCCTCCCCTGGATCCTGGAGGAAACCGCTCTGCAGTATGAAGGGGCGATGAGGGCTCTGGCTTCCATAGCACCCCAAGAGGAAAGTGCCCAATGATCCCCACTTCCTTCCAGAGAGCCAGCAGGAGGGCGGGCGAAAGAGGGAGGTGACACTGACCAGCCCTGTTGAGAAGGAGCCTCCTCCCATTGTGCAATAACATTCAGGAGTTACAAGCGGTTTTGTTTAGCTAGGGAGGGGACAGGCACCAGAGCCAGTCTTGCACAAGCAAGACAAGGGACAGAGCCTGTAGCCTAGCAGTAGCCTCTGGAACTCATGGGCCAATTTCTCTCATCCTATATCACTTCCACCTTCCATCTGTCTCCATTACATGGCTCCCAACACCCAGAAACTGAGCGGCAACAGCTTGGCAGAAGGAATAGTTTATAGGTCGGACAATAAAGCCATGAAGGGACTTGTTACCCATAAAACCTGCATCGTCTATTAAATAGCAGCCGTCAGCATAAGGAAAGAATTCTAGTGTGCTACAGTATAGTCCAAACCACTACACGTACCGCTGTTTGGGGTCATTCCTGTACAATACTGGAGGTTGGTTTGTTTGTTTTTCAATAAGGGTGGGGCTCTACTCTCAAATCGATAAGCAAACTTTTGAGAGTCACACAGAAGCTTTTCTGTATTTGGAGAAATGGGGGATGGGTTCTAACTGGGCCCTGTTTTTCTGCCTTTTCTGAGTCTGGATCATGATTTTAAAATGATCTAATTTCAGTCCTTTCAAAATAGCAACATCTATGATGAGTGGAGCTTTTCATTACATGCTAGTTCTGTTTGTTTAGTCTACCTCTGTTATAACAAGAAGAAGAAAAAAAGCCTGGTCACTCAGGCTTTGCACAAATCTTAATAACTGAGAGATATTCTAACAGCTCCCAACATGTCTGTCTTTTGGTAATATGTTAAAGTAAATGTGAATCACAGGTGGTGCATTCTAAAGGCTCCAGAAGGTGTACTAATACAGTTCAGGATTTAGTAATAAACAAGTACAAAATCCATTGTTTTGCCTCTAGATTTAAAAGTATTGCTTACTGTAAAGTAGCTCTTTTGTAAAACTAGATTTCTAACATTTGAAATGTTTACCTTAGTATCACAGTTAATACCATGTTTGGGTGCTTTACATAATGATGATTAATTTACACTGGACATTTTAAACAAATACTGTATGTTCAGGAAGCAATTTATCATAAGAGATTTAAGTTTTATTTCTGGACACAGAACAGCTAAACTGCTGTCTCAAAAATTTTATATGAACAAGATAGACCACACAGGAAACCATCCTAGTGTTGTGAAATTCCTAGGAATATACTTTTGATACTGTATTACTTACTATACAAATGACAGGAACAATGACATTTACTGGCCAGTCATAGTAGGTTTGTGACAGAGGACAATACATGGTACACCTTAGTTCAAAAGTTAATCTCTGCACAAAATAAACATTTAAAAATAATAGAAAAGCATGTTTGAATACAGAGTCCAAAAATTAATTCTCACATCCTCTCTTATTTTTTTCTATTTTATCATTTTAACATTATAAGATTACCAAAATATTGCAATGTATACTTGAGACATCAAAGGCAATTTTTCATTTATTAAATTTGTCAAAATACTGAAGTAGTACTTACCCACTGGAAAGTCAATAAATCCATATCACACTAAAAACAACAAAAAGTGTTTTACAGACAGTGATATTTGGTGAAAAAAACTTTTTTTCTCTAGTGCAGTAACCTAAAAATACAACTAAATAATAAACATTTACCCAGTGGAAACTGTAAGAATCATGGACTTCAGTTAGTGGTACATACAGTTTTTAACTTGTTGATGGTTTTGGTTTCTTCAAAGTAGTGTATTACTTTTTGAAGTTTGGGTGTTTCTGTTTGTGCAGAAAATAGACAGAAAAGCTTTGAGTTCCCTACTGTTACAAAAGTAAAAAGGAAGCTAAGTTTGAGCTGCTAAATTGGCAGTCTGGAATGAGTCGATAGTATCTCCTTTGTCCTGCTAGCTTTCTCTGTTATATTGTATCTTTGCTCTGTTTCCTCTAAACAAGAAAGCAAGCATTTCACATTTAGGATTTCAAATTTTAGATATTTTTAATAAGGTTACATTTTTATAAGCCTTGTTGTTTTCCAAATGTTTTATTGCACAAGATTGGAGTACATACACCTTTTCAGATTATGGTATTTTAATAACAGTAAAACACTATCAATGACACTACACTAACTTTCATTAACCAAGTAGATAACTTCGTACATTTTTCAGCATATACTTAATTAGGTAAATTATTGTTGTCTTCTTGTTAATATACCTTCATAAGAAATCTAATGTGCACTTTTCCAAGCATTTCATAATTTCTGATTTGATACAAAAAACAGGTGAGAATTAGGACAAAAAGATGAAAACTACCCTTTATCTCACTTGCTGAAGATTCCCTTGATGTGGGTAAGTCCCAGCAGGCAAAGAGCCATCATAGGTTACTTTTGCAACATCATCCTAGGAACTATGCCTAAAGATCATTGCACTCCAGCTATCTTCAGGTGGTGGACAGTCAATTAGGGATCAATGTCAGCTTTGGTAAATTAGAGCTGCCCTTAGGGTGCTCTAACTTGTACCAGAGACAGGGCTGGGCAGAGATCAGAGAGCTATAACCAGCTACTGGATGGCTCCCCAACTCTGCTACATTTACCAGAGCTTTGGTGCATCAGAGAATCTGGGCCTAGAACAGTTCATTCTATTCTTGTAAGTAGTCTGAATGATAGCAGTGTAAAATAAATTCCAGAGTTGTCAGTGTCTGGAAACAAGAAGTGGTTTAATGACTTAGCTGGTGGGGAGCTCTTTCAAAAGCTGAAGCAGGAAGTGTGGGGCCATCACTGTCACTATGGGGTCAGTTTCTATTTACCTGAAATCCAGTCTGCTCTGAAACTCTGGCCTTTGGATTTGGTATTATGTTGTACTGCAGATCTGTCATTCTCCCAGAGAAAATAAACAAATGTCAACAAAAATAGGTTGTGTGAAGGCACTAGTGTTCAATAAATAAAATATGCATACTTTCTGTATTACACATATATATCCTTACTCTCATAAATAGTCTCATTTGTTTTAAATGTAAAAAATACACTGGAATTTAGAATCCGCCCTGTAGTGTACACATTAAAGAAAACTAAATTGTATTAATTCATTATGAGGATCAAATCTGTATTTCCACATGTACAGTGTGTAATTATTAATTACTTTTATGTTAAAATACAAAATGTTGAGAGTTCATTCAAGATAATACTCTGGGGTTTTTCTAAAAAATACAAACTTTATTTTTTAAAAGAGTTACTTTTTTTCTTGTGATTACCTCAGCAAATAAGCATAAGTGGGATATTCAGCACATGACTAACTTCAAATTAACCTCCCCTTCCATTCCCCTTTTTAGACTTCTAAAATTTGTTTCAGTGGACCGCTGATCTGCTGCAATGTCACAGCTACTGTGATTCTGGTCAAGAGTTGTGCCAGTAAGTGGCAGGGATTATTATTATTTAACAGTATGGTTTTGCAAAAAAAATTACAAACCCATGACATATAATGAAAGTCATATACTTGAGCCCTTATGCATCAGCTCCATGCTCTAGCAGGGTTCAGTGGTAGCCATGACTTTACAGTGGTTGGCAGTGAGTCCGTGCAATTTCAGAGTACCTGAAATAGGGGAGAAAATATTTGTTACATTTAATTATTTGTTAAATGCCCTTCCACTCCTTACTATTTGGGGCATCTCACACATAAAAACACAGTTAGCCCTTAAAAAACTCTAGTTCTCCTTTAATTTTAGCTATTAGGTAGCAAATATTGAGGGTCATATTTTTCTCATCAATGAGATTTTTGTATTTGAAACAGGACAGAATATACCTCTAAATTTTAAAACAAAAGCTAAATCAGGTTATTTCTATATCTGACTTTTGTTTACTGAAAGAATACATTTAGTCTATTATGTGTTATTAATGCAGCACTTGGAAAATCTATTCATCCACTTTCCAAATGAGAGTAAAAAAAAATTCTCTGGTGAGCATAGGAGCTTAAGCCATTAACATCTGCAGCTTTCATTTAAAAAATAAAGTACACTTCTGTTCTCTATGTTGTGAATATTACCATAGTTCACATTTGGAGGGTTAACTGATGCAGTGTTGTCCTCCTGGGTCTGCAGGCAGACAGTTCCAGTGCCTCTGCTGCTCCTCATCACTTTATCAAGTAGTAGCAAAGTGAAATTAAGAAGGCTCTGCAGAGATGAACTTCTGTAGTTCAGAGTCTTATGACTAACTGTGAAATTGTCAGTAATATCAATATCATATTGGTGTACCTGTCTGGCAAAACTATTAACATCAGAATGAGGTACTACAGTTATTCATAGGGGTTGGGGAATAGGGGATAAAGAACAGATAAAAGAAATGGAGGCTGAGGGAGAAGTAAAGTAGCACAGACTCAACCACCATAGAAGCCACAATGCTCTCGAAAAGTGGAGAAGGGATAGAATCCTCCCTTTTCTCTTCTAGAAGCTATAAAGGGATGAAAGTTATGATTCGTACTGCAATTATATGCAACATCTTTATAGAAATCTCTGTATACCCTCTCATATCTAGTAACTGGTTATGGCAGGGAGCTCCATCTTTCATCCATTCTTCCCTGTCCCCCTCTTTTGTATCTATTTCTGGTTTGTGGATGTAGTCCTCTGACTAGTACCAGTAAATATCTAGTATAATTTTCAAGTCCTGCATTAATGCTCCATAACAGAGTCATATACTTAGTATTTTGAAAATAAAAGCAAGTAAAGCTGGCAAGATTAATTTTTAAAGATAACTACTACATATGTATAATTGCTTTTAATAAGGATTTCTATTATATATGTATAGTCATTCTTAATATTGTACATGATATTACTGTACAGTACTGAATATCACTGTACATGTAATATTGTACATGATATTAGCAATTGCAGGGTATTAAATAATGCACTTTTTAAAAAAAATGTATAAACATGCACTTAACACAGGCTACAAATATGCACATAATACAGATCACAAAGTAGCCATTCCAACATGGCAGGTATAAAAGATAAATGCAAATTAGGAAAATTCAAAAAGTCTATCAAGTGAATAATATACATTTTTCACCTTACATGAAAGATTTAAAAAAGAAATATAAATGCAGAAAACTTTAAAAAAACTCTACACTTTTAAGACAAACTGGCAAAATCCAGAATATTCAATATTCAGTATTTAAACTACTGTTTTACATGTGTTTTAACTTTTAATTTGCCTATTACTGATTGAATGTTACATGCATGTGAACAACCTTTGCTTACTAAAATCACTAATTTCACCCAAAATATCCATTATATGATACTGTTTGATTGAGTGTTACAATCTTCATGTACTATTGACTAAATACGAATTTTTGGCAACCTTTCCATATAAAATCTGAATTGTTATAGGGTCTCATCCTGTAAACCCTTTTCACACAAGAAGTCCCATTAAAGTCAATGGGACTATTTGCATGAGTAAAGGCTACCTGTCAGTTTGGACTTTAGTTCATCTCAGTTTTGTAATGCTGATCTGTAGGAGAAATACTGCTGAAGAGCCAAAAAGAAAAATGCTAAATAATTAATACAATTATTTGCGTTTTGTAACTCCTACAGATTTTTCTCACTTAAAGCATTAGAACAATGACTCAAATGCCAATGCGGGAATATGGAAAGGAGGGGGAAGCTCATAAAAGTATTGTAAGTGTATATATGGTTCCTATTAATATAGTAATACAGGCTAGACTGAGCCCAGCCTTGCATGTCTACAGGAGGGCTAAAGGGGCTGTGAACGGTGGTGCACAAGAGTCCTTCCTCAGAAGGTGCAGACAGAACTGTAGTCTCTGAATTCGGGGGAGTGAACCAGGCCCAGAAGGAGGAGGTGGGGCTATATGTCGTGTCCGTCCGTGTCGTCCCCTCTCCTCCCGCCCATCCACCCCTCTCCCTCCCCCCCCCCCCGTCCCCAGCCAGCTGCAGAGAGGGGAGCATACTCTACTATGTTAAGAGCTAGTGGAGCATAAACACTCTGCCTGTCCACTGGGGAGCTCTTGGAGAGATTTTCTCCCAGAGCTCCCCCTGAGAAGTTACTATGCTCTGCAGCACCCCTTACTCAAGACTGTGCCTTAAAGACAGAATTGAGCCTTCAGTTAGATACTGAGTATTTCTCTGTACGTGTGCAATATTTTTTAGGGAGGGATACCAAATAGAATGTTAATTAACTTACCTTAGACATAGAGTTTGTACGCTTCATGCTTATGAGAGCCATAAAACAATACATTTTTATATGTATCAGCACTGTAGACAAAGGTGACCTGCAAATATAAAATCAAGAATCAAGCAGCTTTAATATGATTTGCTGAATATCCTCAAATAAGCAGGGTTAATTGACGCATTAGGAATGTAAACCTTGTTCCCTTCACCCCCATTCCCTTAGATCCTCAGAAGTTGCAGATTGCTGGCTACAGCTCTCTCTGACACTTCAAACTGAACTATACTGGTGATGTTACATCAACATCAAGATGGAGGAAGGGTGGTCTTGTGGCCAAGACACAGGGTTGGGAGCTGAGATTGGGATCATATTCCTCGCTCTTTCCCAGACTTTCATGTGTGGCTTTTGGTAAGACACTTAGCCACTCTGCACCTCAGTTTCCCAAATTATAAAATGAGGTTGATTAACACTTTTGTACCTTACAAGGGTATTGTGAGGCTAAATTCATAAATATTGAAAGACATTCAGATACTACAGTGACAAGGGCCATAGAAAGTATAAAACACCACCAAATTTAAAATAATTAGGAACATTTTGTTTAACTGTATATTTGACATAAAACTCATTGGTCGGGAACCAGATTGTTGAGTTAACCATGGCCATTAAAGATCACAGAGCTAGGTCATCTGGAAAGATCTGGAGTTAAAGCTCCCCCTGAGAAGGGTGCTCATAATGTGTCACCTCTCCAGAAAGAAATTTTCAAAGTTACAATGGGTGACATCCAGGCTCTGGCCTTTTATGCTGGGTAAAAGGGTCAGAAAAGTGTATAGAGGTTCTAAAAGCCTCTTATTTGGCCAGGGTAGGATACCCCGGCATAGGAACTGAAGAAAACAGTCATAAGGCTGCCTTCTGAGGAATCTTTCCAAAGCCCTGGGGCAGGAGGGCATTCCTGGAGGTGGGAGGATTTGTCAGGGGTTGAGATTCAACATTGCAGAGATTCTGAGCAGCACTTTGGCTCAGAGGGCTGCTCAGGGAGACTGTCATAATTTAGGCCTCTGAGGCTGTCTGCATTATGCCTGGGGCCGTGGAGCAGCCCAGGATTGAGAGGATGCAAAAGTGGTTTAAAGCCACCTCAGACCCACCTGGGTTGTGAGTATTGTGCTGTGTCTCTTAGAAAAGCAGCGCAGAATCTCACCCAAAATGTCTAAAAGAGCTTTGAGACAGCTGTGGATGAAAAGTGCTCTATAAGTGCTAGGTATCATTACTATTAACAGATAATTATAACAAACCAATTGCAAAGTGGCAAACATTTTAACTGAAAGGAAGGATCATCTGTACTGATAGAGTCTGTGTTATGAGAAGACAAATTAGCAGGTAATAGCAAAATTGTCCTTTTATTCATACATAAAAATCTATCAGTCTGAAGGGAAAGGCTGTTGGGAATTAGCAAGCAAAATGGGATGAAGAGTGGGAAAGATAAGGAAGGAAATAAGATTTCATAGCAGACTACTGACCTTGGTGACTAAAGGCTCAATCAAACAAGGAAACAATATCCACCTTATAATTCTTTGTAAATGAATGGATCAATGCCCAGGTCATTGCTCTTCAAATTTTGTCACAGACACTCTACTTCTCTCTTCCCACTGATCTTTTGAGGAGGTCAACAACCATGTGGACAAGGGTGATCCAGTGGATATTGTGTACTTAGACTTTCAGGAAGTCTTTTACAAGGTCCCTCACCAAAGGCTCTTAAGCAAAGTAATCAGTCATGGGATAAGAGGGAAGGTCCTCTCATGGATCAGTAGCTGGTTAAAAGATAGAAAACAAAAGGTAGGAATACATTATCAGTTTTCCCAATGGAGAGGGGTAAATAGCAGTGTCCCCCAGAGTGCTGAACTGGGACCAGTTCTGTTCAAAATATTCATAGATGATCTGGAAAAAGGAGCAAACAGTGAAATGGCAAAATTTGCAAAGGAGAGAAAATTATTCAAGGTAGTTAAGTTCAAAGCAGACTGCGAAGAGTTACAAAGGGATCTCACAAAACCAGGTGACTTGTCAACAAAATGGCATATGAAATTCAATGTTGATAAATGCAACATTGGAAAACATAACCCCAACTACACATATAAAATTATGTGGTTTAAATTAGCTGTTACTATTGAAGAAAGAGATCTTGCAATCATTGTGGATAGTTCTCTGAAAACATCTGTTTAATGTACAGCAGCAGTCAAAAAAAACTAACAGAATGTTAGGAACCATTAGGAAAGGGACAAATAAGATAGAAAATACCATAATGCCACTATATAAATCCATGGTATGCCCACACCTTGAATACTGCATGCAGTTCTGGTCGCCCCATCTCAAAATGTATATATTAAAATTGGAAAAGGTATCGAGAAGTGCAACAAAAATGATTAGTGGATGGAACAGCTTCCAGATGAGGAGAGATTAAAAAAACTGGGACTGTTCATCTTGGAAAAGAGACAACTAAAGAGGGATATGATCGAGATCTATAAAATCCTAAATGGCGTGGAGAAAGTTAATAAGGAAATGTTATTTACCGCTGCACATAACACAAAACCAGGGGTCACCCAATGAAATTAATAGGCAGCAGGCTTAAAAGAAACAAAAAGAAATACTACTTCACACAATGCAGTCATCCAGTAGAACTCATTGTCAGGGGATGTTGTGAAGGCCAAAATTATAACTGGGTTCAGAAAAGAATTAGATAAGTTCATGGAAATAGGTCCATCAATGGCTATTAGCCAAGATGGTCAGAGATGCAACCCCATGTCTTAAGTCTCTGACAGCCAGAAGCTGCAAGTGGACAACCAGGTATGGATCACTCAATAAACTGCTATGTTATGTTCATTCTCTTCAAAGCATCTGGTATTGGCCACTGTTGGAAGACAGGATATTGGACTAGATGGACCTAGTATGGCCATTCTTATGTTCTTTTCATTATCTCCTTTTCTTTAATAATACGCTGCTCTAACCAACTTGGATATGGTTGCTTTATATACTCTGTTGCCTTTTTTTTTAACCAGTATACACCAGAAATAAAGTATCTTATTTTCAAAAGGCTTCCATCATTTCTAGATTACATTTTTTGGCCCCTCTCACATCCAGAAAGTGAAACTTCAATGCCCTTAGGATGAGAAAGGCTTAGGTGAATAATGGGATAATCAGTGAATAGTGAATAATATGAAAAGATAAGATTATTTTAGGGAGAAACTCTGGGGCTATGAAGAAGACTATCTTATTAAGAAAATAAAGAAACTGTTCCTGAATTGAAACTGTTTCTGGAGTTCAAATTCTCTCTGAAAATGTGACTCACTGAAAGGGAAAAAACCCAGGAACTTTAGAAAGCGGTTCAAATGGAAGCTCCATCAACGTAGAAATAAGCAAATTTAAGTTCCAACAAGCCATAAGATATTTAATTGATGGCTGAAACTTTGGAAAGGCCTTGATACATCTTGAGATGTGAGGGTGAATTGCTACACTGTCTGCATCTAGCAAGTTTGAGCACCTCAGATGCTGAAATCTGCACACAGAAATAGTTGATTGTAGATTCTGGACATAAATTAATTCCTTGATTAAAGAAAGACATCCATGAGTCAAAAAGAATTGCTGAACTGAAGGAGGTTCAGGTCTTAAAGTTCAATATTGCTAATTTTAATTTCTCTGGGTTGAGACAGATCAGTAGGTCCCCTGGAGTTGGAAGCATACATGACAAATGAAGAAACATCTCTATGATGTGATGGACTAGTCATATGAGAATACCTGTATTTTCTATGCTTAGAGCAGAAGAGCTTTAATTTCCTGTTGTTGCTCAAGGCAATCTGGTTGATGGTAAGTATCCCCCAGTTCATGACGATCTCATTCAAGATAATCTGATTTAGCCCAATTTTCTAAGTTGCTCTTTAAAACCTCCAATGATGGGGATTCCGCAGCCAGCCTGGAAGCCTATTCCAATGCTAAACTATCCTTATAGTTAGAAAGTTTTTCCTAATAACGAATCTAAATCTCCGTTGCTGAAGATTAAGCCAATTGCATCTTGTCCTACTTTCAGCGAGCACGGAGAACTGTTGATCACAGTCCTCTTTATAAAAGCCCTGTTGGAAGACTGTTACCAGGTCCTCCTTCAGTCTTCTTTTCGCAAGACTAAACACGCCCAGTTTTTCAACTGTTCCTCATAGATCTGGTTTTCTAAATCTTTTATAATTTTTGGTGCTCTCCTCTGGACTCTCTCTCTAGTTTGTCCACATCTTTCTTAAAGTGTGACACCCAGAACTGGACATAGTACTCCAGCTGAGGCCTCTGTGGAGATAGAGGTGGTTAGGGACTTTTTAGAAAAGCTGGACGTGCACAAGTCCATGGGGCCGGACGAGTTGCATCCGAGAGTGCTGAAGGAACTGGCGGCTGTGATTGCAGAGCCATTGGCCATTATCTTTGAAAACTCGTGGCGAACCGGGGAAGTCCCGGATGACTGGAAAAAGGCTAATGTAGTGCCAATCTTTAAAAAAGGGAAGAAGGAGGATCCTGGGAACTACAGGCCAGTGAGCCTCACTTCAGTCCCTGGAAAAATCATGGAGCAGGTCCTCAAAGAATCAATCCTTAAGCACTTGCATGAGAGGAAAGTGATCAGGAACAGCCAGCATGGATTCACCAAGGGAAGGTCATGCCTGACTAATCTAATCGCCTTCTATGATGAGATTACTGGTTCTGTGGATGAAGGGAAAGCAGTGGATGTATTGTTTCTTGACTTTAGCAAAGCTTTTGACACGGTCTCCCACAGTATTCTTGTCAGCAAGTTAAGGAAGTATGGGCTGGATGAATGCACTACAAGGTGGGTAGAAAGCTGGCTAGATTGTCGGGCTCAACGGGTAGTGATCAATGGCTCCATGTCTAGTTGGCAGCCGGTATCAAGTGGTGTGCCCCAAGGGTCGGTCCTGGGGCCGGTTTTGTTCAATATCTTCATAAATGATCTGGAGGATGGTGTGGATTGCACTCTCAGCAAATTTGCGGATGATACTAAACTGGGAGGAGTGGTAGATACGCTGGAGGGGAGGGATAGGATACAGAGGGACCTAGACAAATTGGAGGATTGGGCCAAAAGAAATCTGATGAGGTTCAATAAGGATAAGTGCAGGGTCCTGCACTTAGGACGGAAGAACCCAATGCACAGCTACAGACTAGGGACCGAATGGCTAGGCAGCAGTTCTGCGGAAAAGGACCTAGGGGTGACAGTGGACGAGAAGCTGGATATGAGTCAGCAGTGTGCCCTTGTTGCCAAGAAGGCCAATGGCATTTTGGGATGTATAAGTAGGGGCATAGCGAGCAGATCGAGGGACGTGATCGTTCCCCTCTATTCGACATTGGTGAGGCCTCATCTGGAGTACTGTGTCCAGTTTTGGGCCCCACACTTCAAGAAGGATGTGGATAAATTGGAGAGAGTCCAGCGAAGGGCAACAAAAATGATTAGGGGTCTGGAACATATGAGTTATGAGGAGAGGCTGAGGGAGCTGGGATTGTTTAGCCTGCAGAAGAGAAGAATGAGGGGGGATTTGATAGCTGTTTTCAACTACCTGAAAGGGGGTTCCAAAGAGGATGGCTCTAGACTGTTCTCAATGGTATCAGATGACAGAACGAGGAGTAATGGTCTCAAGTTACAGTGGGGGAGGTTTAGATTGGATATTAGGAAAAACTTTTTCACTATGAGGGTGGTGAAACACTGGAATGCGTTACCTAGGGAGGTGGTAGAATCTCCTTCCTTAGAGGTTTTTAAGGTCAGGCTTGACAAAGCCCTGGCTGGGATGATTTAACTGGGAATTGGTCCTGCTTTGAGCAGGGGGTTGGACTAGATGACCTTCTGGGGTCCCTTCCAACCCTTATATTCTATGATTCTATGATTCTATGATTCACCACTGTTAAGTACAGAACAATTACCTCTTAAACCTTACATATAACACGGCTGTTAATACACCCCAGAATATTAGCCTTTTTCGCACCTGTATCACATTGTTGACTCACATTCAGTGTGAACCACTATAACCCCCAGATCCTTTTCTACAGTACTACTGCCTAGCCAGTTATTCCCCATTTTATAGTTTTGCGTTTGAGTTTCCTTCCTAAGTGTAGTACTTTCCACTTGTCTTTATTGAATTTAATCTTATTAATTTCAGACAGATTCTCCAATGTATCAAGGTCCTTTTGAATTCTAATCTTGTCCTCCAAAGAGCTTGCAACTCCTTCCGTCTTGGTGTCACCTACAACTTTTGTAAGCATACTTTCCACTCCATTATCCAAATAATGACTAAATATATATATTTTTAACAGCCATACTGGGTCAGACCAAAGGTCAATCAAGCCTGGTATCCTGTCCTCTGACAGTGGCCAATGGCAGGTGCCCCAAAGGGAATGAACAGACAGATTATCATCAGGTGACTCATGCCCTGTCACCCAATCGCAGCTTCTGGCAAACAGAGGCTAGGGACACCATTCCTTCCCATCCTGGCTAATAGCCACTGATGGACCTATCTTCCATGAATCTATCTAGCTCCCTTTTGAACCCCATTATAATATTGGCCTTCACAACACCCTCTGGCAAGGAGTTCCAGAGGTTGACAGTGCGTTGCGTGAAAAAATACTTTCTTGTGTTTGTTTTAAACCTGCTACCTATTAATTTCATTTGGTGGCCCCTTGTTCTTGTATTACGAGAAGGCGTAAATAACACTTCCTTATTTACTTTCTCTATGCCACTCATGATTTTATAGACCTTTATCATATCCCCCCTTAGTCGCCTCTTTTCCAAGTTGAAAAGTCCCAGTCTTATTAATCTCTCCTCATACAGAAGCTGTTCTATACCCCTAATAATTTTTGTTGCCCTTTTCTGAACCTTTTCCAATTCCAATATATCTTTTTTTAGAGATGGGACGACCGCATCTGCACACAGTATTCAAGATGTGGGCGTACCAGGGATTTATATAGAGGCAATATGATATTTTCTGTTTTATTATCTATCACTGTCTTAATGATTCCCAACATTCTGTTTGATTTTTTGACTCCCGCTGTACATTGAGTGGATGTTTTCAGAGAACTATCCACAATGACTCCAAGATTTATTTCTTGAGTGATAACAGCTAATTTAGACACCATCATTTTATATGTATAGTTGGGATTATGTTTTCCAATGTGTATTACTTTGCATTTATCAACATTGAATTTCATCTGCCATTTTGTTGCCCAGTCACCCAGTTTTGTGAGATCCTTTTGTAGCTTTTCGCAGTCTGTTTGGGACTTAACTATCTTTAATAGGAAAAGCACAAGAACAAACACCTTAAAAGATTTTTTTTTTAATTAAAACACCCACTTTAATTATTAACTTTGTCCTTAATGTATAAGACTTGAAGCAGCTAACAGGTTTATGCTGTTACTGTTTCTCACAGGAATAATAATAACTGACTCTCATACAGCACTTTTCATCAGTGAATCTCAAGGTGCTTTACAAATGAGGAACATATCATTACCCCCACTTTACAGATGGGGAAATTGAGGAACAGAGAGGTGAAGTAAAACAGCAGGCTACTGACAGAGCTAGGAATAAATTCAGATCCCACAGGTGCCACTTTAGTGCCCTATCTATTGGGCCACACTGCTCTGCACAGTAGTAAATCATTGGACAACTCTCTCACGTTCTCTAACTTCAAAATTAATTTTATTACATACAATGAATAAAAAAAGACATGTATTAATACTTTGAATAGAAAATTTATGCAAATTATTCTCATTTCTTAAGTATCCCTGCTTTTATATTCTTCTGACCCATACTTCTGGCTCCAGCTCAAGTATAAGAGTGATTCTGGTTAAAACACATCAAGGGCATGAATGCTGATAACATGCACTACACATATTTTTGAATATTGTTTGTGTGCCACAAAATGAAAAATCTTGAAGTTTAGAACAGAAATATGAACTACACTTTTTTTTAGTACACTAACTAATTTTATTTGATGATTAATTTATCATAGGACCAAATGCATGGATACTTTTACTGTATTTAGGTTTTGTTTGTATTACTAATTGCCTTTATTTACCATGAAAAAAACAAACAAAACAACACATAGGCTGTTAATCTTTAACCACAAATGGTAAAAATAAGCATAGACCAGTTGTAGTTTTGTTTAGGGATCACAGACTTTTTCCGTCTATCAATCTGGAGCAGTGGTTGGCAACCTGCAGCCTGTCAGGGTAATCTGTTGGTGGGCGGCCAGACAGTTTGTTTACATTTGCACGGCCACCCGCAGCTTCCAGTGGCCACAGTTAGCCGTTTCCGGCCAATGGGAGCTGCAGGAAGCAGCACGGGCCACAGGGATGTGCTGTCCACCGCTTCCCGCAGCTCCCACTGGCCAAGTACGGTGAACCGCAGCCACTGGGAGCTGCGGGTGGTAGTGCAAATGTAAATAAACGGTCTGGTGGCCTGCCAGCGGATTATTCTGACAGGCTGCATGTGGCCCGCAGCCTGCAGGTTGCCCACCACTGATCTGGAGTGTGCATTGATCTTTACTGTGCAACATGCTTCTAACTTGCTTTTTGCTGATTCAACACGGGTTTGGAACCGTCTATCAATAAAAGTTTATATATTAGAATGAGTAAAGCTATACGACAAAATGTAAGAAAACATCAGACCACACTCCAGAGTTTTGTCAGATAATTATATTTTATTTAACCACAAACTAATAATTATGCACCAAATTGAGCATACTTTTCAATAGTTTTGTCGGAGTAAGGGCTGCATTATTCCACACTATATACAAAAACTATGAACAAAGGAGGCCAAAATATTGCACCAAATGTTGCAGTGGTAGTGTTTCTTGACATTTTACTTCCAGATTCCTGTCTTCACACAAGTCTCCTTTATTCTTACATTTTCTCTTCCCCAAAGATAGTTTCTCTCAAGAATCTCCAAATTATTTACTGCAAAAATCTTAAAAACCGCAAATAAACATAAGCAAATGTGGCTTTGACATTCATTTATCGTAAGTAACTGGTCAAGTCATTTGAGGCCTCCATTGCTCAATCCACTAAAACATAAATCAGGATGGCAAACATGAACCTTGCCTAAGTCTCCAGGCTCTGCATTTTACCCCCTTGCTGGGCATGGGCTTATAACCACATCTAGCTTAGATTTTTTGCTTCTTTGCCATACTTCATTTGCATAGACCAGCAAGCCATACCCACAATCACATATGAAAATGTTTTCTAAGATGTAGTTTCTGCAGTTAGGTTTTGCTTTTTAATATTCATAAATACAGGTTATGCAGAGGTTAGTTTAATAATGTATTCCTAAAAGTTAGTAGTTCTTCTAGCTAATCTAATCTATTTATCTATAAAGCATCCAACACTATGGTACCTCAGTGCAATCTTCTCCTTCATACTGTGTTGTGTTTCTTAAAATACAAACTGTACTGTCAGAAGACTGGTTAACAAGAGAGACCTGTCTTTCTTATTAACTCATACAGGGCCTGATCCAATGCCTATGAAGTCAACAGGAATCTTTCTACAGATTTCAGTGAGCACTGGATCAGGCACATAGTTCTCTTTTTCTCTGAAATGAAACTTTTCCACTAATGGCTGCATACTGCCTCCAGCAGTTTAACTTTCCTTTATTCCTATATACAAGAGAAGATATATTCCTTAGTAGATGGTTAGAAGATGCAGAAATAGAATTTCCAGATTGAAATCTTCAGCAATCTGATTTGCTGGGGATGTAGTTTTAGATTTTTCTAGGATTAAGGATTTTCTAATGCAAAGTTCTGCTTCTTATACTAGCAACTAGTTTTAAGTATTTACATGATATTCCATAGCTCCTCCCATTTTTTTTCAGGATCTCTTCCCCTGTAGTTCTAAATCTGACTGGTTTTCCTGAAAACAGGAACTAAAGAGTACAAACATTTTCAAGCAGGTTTAGATTAATCAGACCAGTATTCTGAGAGAGAAGCAAAAAACTTACATACTCTTTAGTTGGCTGTCTTATTTTCTGAATCTATCTTTATGAGAGGTCATAACGTCAGAATTTTATCATGAATACCCACTTAAATACCCACCAAATAAAATGTATTTATTTTAATATTCTTAGGCTAAATAAGTAATATTACAGTCATTGACAAGCTTACTTCTTTTTTCTCTTAATTTAATTATATGTATAAAGTTCTAATTTCTTGTACCACTGATATAATCCTACTTTTTCTGATGCATTTTATAATAGCTATTGTTTGCAGTGACATACATCTTCTGATACCAGAACTAATCAAAGTCAGATCATCATAGCACCATACTGTAGTACTGTTTTGTTCCCCGTTGAGTTGCACATATGGTAGATGGCAAGATACAGCCCAGAAAAGACTACTTAGCTCATCCAGTCAGAGTCCTGAAATTTTTGCAAACTATTCACATCTACATCATATTCTCCTTAATGTCTTATCTACCTTATTCTTGAATATCTGCCATGATGGTGGCTTTACCACTTCCAACTATGCAGTTGTTTTTACTATTGAGAACTGTCTCCTAATATCTGGCCTTGACTTTTCCTTCCTTGACTTCAGGCCACTTCTCCTATAATATTCTATAGTTGCGAATAATTTCTTTCCTTCATTTATATATATTTATCCTGAATTTAAAGAATAATCATGTTCATCCTAAATCATCTCTTTTGTAGATGAGATAGATTTAGCAACTTTTCAGGGGTGCTATTTCAACATTTTTTTGATGTTGCATTTTCTCTCTTCTTTTTGAATATCTGTATATCACTCACTGTTGGAATCAAAGGTATATGCACTATTCTAGATCAAGTTATACCAAAATGATGTACAGTAACACCGTTAACTCATTGACTCCCTAGTTTTATGTTTTCCTATACATAGTATAGGAATGGCTTCTCCCCTCACACACACTATGATATATTTAGTTTGCTGTGTGTTATTACTCCAATATCTTTCTTGACCTCAATTCTCTCTAGATAGCTATCTAGGGGATTGATTTTGCCAGATGCTGATGTTAATAGGACTTGAGGTCTTCAGCAGTCGTCAAGAGGAGCTAATCACTTTGTAGGATCAGGCCACAGATTTGTATTTATGTTGTTCAGTTCCTCTCCCTAAATGCGTCACTACATTTTTTAAAGTGATCCTCATTCCTCTGCATACACTCCAAAACCTGAGATCATTTTACATTTCCTGTCCTCCTGCATGTTTGTCACCCATCTGATTTTGCTGACTTCAAGTTTAATCAGTTAATCTTAGAACTTATACTAGGCTGTTAATGTAATTATAATAGATTCCCCCCTTACCACATATCCTAAACAGCATTTTCTATAACTTGGGGAAAGAAAAGGGTTGATGAAGACAACTAGCGACCTTGCTAGGCCAATCTATTACCTGGAACGTGGTAGCAATCTCACCACTCATTGGAACACTGTAAAATGGTTACACAGGTTTTATTAGTAACACGGGAACATATTATTGCTTGTCCCTGTTTTAAAATTTATGGAAAAACTATAGTAGTAGTATGCAGGATGAGGTCATTTTTATATTGATGTTTTGCCACTAGCACTTTAATATCAGACCATGGTCAAATATGCCATGTGCGGCCTATGGCCTGCTTTAATTTATGCCAGTTGGCTATGGTCGCTAAGGGACCATATGCAGCTTAAAATTGCTGGAGTGCAGGAACACTATGTCATGTCCTCAACATACCCCTTATGTCAGGGCTGTGGGGGCAACTGCTCTGTAGCAGGAGAATTCTCAACTGGCTAGTTAGAGTCAGATTCTGGCCACTTTGTGGTGCATGCATGGCGCAAAATGGTTAGAACAGGATCAGGGAATCTGGACCTTAATTTTTCAGATGCTTTTCTATATTTTTCTCTGATTACCCTTTTGTTTATGGCCTCTCCAGCTATATTCTCTAATAAATTCCCTGTTTCCTGGACAAAAAGCTCATATTTTCTTTTAGTCGGTATACCCTACTGAAAACAAAGGAAAAACTGAAGTTCTGGGTTATTTGAGGAACTCTTACTCACTTCTTTCTGCTTTCTAGCAGTTCCTTTTTTAAAATATGTCTATTTTGAATATATTTTTTAAAAAACTTTTCTTATATCACTGGGCCAGCATCATTTTGTTCTTGGTTTGGCTTCTTAGGGTTTTTTCCCCTTTATTTTATATCTGCAGTTATATGATGGTAAGATTAAATTTAATCATTTCAATCTCTGTTCTTTTCCATTTCTCATAATTTTTTTATTTAACTAATTTCACTACTTTTGCCAACCATCCTTTCAGCCAAGTCTTTAAAAAAATCTTCATATTTTGTTGTAGTGTCATTGTAAAACCATGGTTTCCACTTTTTAAAAAAACTCTCCCATCTTCCTTCTACCTCATTTCCTAATATGGTTACCCATTTTTCTGTCTCATCACTCGCACCAGAAATATTGTAAGCTTTTGATCATAACCTCCAAAATTCCCTCCTTTTTTTCAGAGCTGTTACCGTTTTCTCTTGGTTAGTCAATATCAGATCCAGGATTTCATTGGGCCTCATTGCTTTTTTCAGTTTTTGAAATACCGTAAGAAACTATCCTCTTGTATCCTACTTGAAAAAACTTAAGTTTCGTGTATATAATTAAAATATCTCTTTTAATTATTTTTAAATTTTCACACACTTAGCATCAGATCCATAAGTAATACTTTTTTCCTAATCTCAGATTAAATACCATATTACATGCCTACATCCTAAATCCCTCATGGTTTATACATCCTTCATTTTAACCTGTGAAAGTGACTTTGCCTTCAACTGATCTTCCTTATATAGAAATGTATTCTTTTATAGTTTTATTGTAGTAATGTCTTGTCCAACCATGTCTGTAATGTAATCAAAGATCATCCAATGGGAATTGTGGCTGCTCAGCATTTCTCAGGATCAGGCCCTAAAACAAAACTGGTTATGAACAGAAACCTCTATTGTTTCTTGATTATTTCCCATAGGTTGTTCCAGCTTTTAGGGACAGTGTATTCTCACAGTCATCTCAATGTACCTATGTAATATTCATTTAACTTAATTTTTTCTTTTGAAAATTTCCCCCCATGTTTACATTCATCCATCAGTTGATGATGAATCATTCCTGGTTTATTAAATATTTTCCAGCTATACTCCCCGCCCCCTCTTCTCTTCCTCTTCATTTATGAAGGAGACAGACATTCAGACTCCCTATTTAATTATTTTTATTGCAAATATAACCATTCACAATAAAGTGGTCAAATGAAAGTCAGATAAGACAGCTGTACTTAAGTAAATGTAAAATGAACATTATTTGTAATCTGCAAATGCTTTTTTAATTTTTGAGATTAAATAGTTTTTATTATTGGTCAAAACCATAAATTATATTTTAAATATGTTCATTACTCAGTGGTATTATACTGCCTTTACACCAAGGCTTCTTTACATACATTCATTCATTTAATTATTTTTCTCTACTTGCTTACTATTCTGTAAAAATTAGAGGAGAGATTCTGCTACCCTATTCATACTGACTAGTATCTTAGTGAGTAATTCTACTGAAATGTCAATGGGACTACTCATCAAGTAAGGCACTACTCAGCATCAGTACGGGTGATAGAAAAAAAACAGAGCCAAATCTTTAGCTGGTGACTTCACTGGAACTGTGTCAATTTACACTTGCTGAGGATATTGTCCATATAGTCTTAACAAAAGATTTTTAATGCAGTCTTTCAACCATATATTGCTCTCTCTTTAGATAATTTCTATATGTGTTGTTAACCATGGTGGAATGGATCTACTGTTACTAATTTTAACCAAAAATTACCACTAATACAAGAAATTGCCACACTAGTCACTGATTTAAAGAGAGATTCTAAGGCTCTGCTGCTTTCCATTTCTCAAGAGTAATGCTATTTTCTTAGTCAGAGTGTCAAAGCAACTGCTTTTTTAATGGGTACCAGTACCATATGCTGGCCTGCTATTATTATAGTGTTAATCATTTGCAGCCAGCATAAATGAAATTCTCAGCCATACCTCCAATTTTCTAAGAAGTCAATATTACATTCTGTTACTTTAGACATGAGACGGCCATCCTTTTTGACAACATTTTTCATATCCAAAATGTGTATGTATAACAGAAAAGTTCTGTACTTTACTTGTGCAAATTCTCTCTTAGATTTTTAAGATGCCTGTCCCAGTAATAGCTCACCACCAAATAATTAAAATTGTCTAAAGAACGTTGGGGTTGGATAACAAGATATAAAATATCCACTTCAGAAAATCTGATCAAAAAGTTCTTTTACTATCATTTCTAGAATGAAGACTAATGCTATATCACATGTTTTGTTACATCTAAAGCACTATGACATTTTTCATGGATTTTGTATTCTCTTCATATTAGGTTTTATAATTCTATAAAAGCCTCTGAATTACAAGCTGGTTAGGCAAGCAATGCATTATACTTCTGTGCAGAACAATGAAGTCTCAATCTTCTTAGCATCTGCGCAATGCGCCTCTGGTGGCATATGACCAGGATTCATCACATCAAATTTGGTCGGCTGGTTGGATCATTAGCTTCCCCTGCTTGCACAGGGTACTGACCAGGAGTGTAATGTGAATGCTGATCCATGTCCCCCAGTCTCTTAGTGATTCAATGGACATAAAATTCATTAGAGTACCACATTCTGCTCTATCTCTTCAAAAGAGTAGTTCTCACAGAAAATACTCATATCAACAGCAAAGAAAAAGATCTTCCTTCCACCTTCCAAATCAGAAATTATGCCTCTCAACCTGGGAGGAGAGACAGACATGTAACCCTCCAAGTTGTCAAGTATGCGAAAGAGAGGCTTCAAGGAAGAGGGTAGCTAAAGCTCAGAGAAAAGGGGAAAGCAGAAAAACAAGATGGTGAAAAAAAAATCAGAAAAGAACAGAGGTGAAACAGAGAAAATAAAGAGAAAATAGAGACAGTGGCAAATGTGCCAGGGCGCCTAACAATCACTGCAAGGAAAATGCTAACAAATAAACTACAGACAGTAATTCTTGAGTACAGGAATGAAAGCTATATGCCAAAACATGTTGGAATCATGTTTTGCTAAAGGGGGAAATGGGAACAGGGAATGGGGGTAAGGAAATTGGAATCATGTTTTGCTAAAAGGGGAAATGGGAACAGGGAATGGGGCTGGGGAAATTGGAATCATGTTTGGCTAAGGGCAGGAATGGGAACAAAGACACAGGTGTAAGGCTCTGTGGTGTCAGAGCTGGGAAGGAGGATACTAAGGAAGGAAACTGGAATCATGCTTGCTGGAAGTTCACCCCAATAAACATCGAATTGTTTGCATCTTTGGACTTCGGGTATTGTTGCTCTCTGTTCATGCAAGAAGGACCAGGGAAGTAAGTGAGTGAAGGAATAAGCCCCCTAACATGATTCCAAAACATGATGCCAAAACCTAATATCACACTAAATGCTGTTGCCGAATCTGTGCCATTATAATTAAGATTGTTTTATTCTTTTTACAATAGAACCTCTCACACCTCAATACAGTACTTCTTTTCCCATTACTTTTAAAATATTCTTTTAACTTTGTTGTGAATATTTCCCTTAGGCTGAAATTTGTACAAAACATTAGCCTAGAATTTAATTTTCTGTGAAAAAAAAATTAAGAAAATCTATGTGGCTGTTTTGGAGTGCTAAAACTGTAGTAAAAAAACCCCTAAAATTTGTTTCTAAACACTTATGTTTCACAAAACTCACAGTCACATTTTCTAAAAGATTTTTGGGCCTGATCATCTCAAATTAGGACTAGCAGGCTGCTGACGTATATTATTTTTAAAAGTGAAATTAAAATGTTTAATTTAAATACATGAGATATTGCACAAATGGATATTTTTGAGTATATGAAGACTTTGAGTTTTAAGCACAAACTCAGCGTGCATGTGTGCCACTAGTATTTGAGTATTCTAAATTGCATTTTAGTCCTTCAACTAAATGTTGATCTTGGTATATATATTTTGGTGATTGGATAGATGTTTTCTCCTGAGGGAAAAAAAGGAGGAAGAGCCTGACCTGGATGTCTGAGGGAGGAATAAACGTAGAGCTTAAGAAAAAGTAAGTTAAACTAGTTATTATCCCTTGAGTGTGTAATAATAATTTATCTTCTAAATTGCAAGTTTTTAATTATCTATATTTATTCTTAACAATAAAGCAGTGAATGAATATCTTGGGTATTCCACAAAATGAAAGTGAAGGGGTAATTTTCTGCCATGATGCTTCCATAGCGTACTATGGAAAAGTAAGCCTCACAAGGTCATATCACTAACTGAATAATTTTTAATCTAAATGTAATGAATTACTTGCAGTTCAGTAGTTATTTGCTGATCAACATCACAATGTTTGACTTAAAACAAAATAATTTGAGAAATAGCATATTTGCAGCTATCTTATTCTGAGCAGAGAAAATGTACTGCACTTATTTGCATCTAATTCTATGCAGTTTGTACTACAGAGCAGTTTGTATTATTGTACATTACTTGTGTTTATTATGCTGAAGTGCACAGGAGTGTTCAGTGAACCAAAACAAGTTTATCCTAGTCAATGGAAAGGCACTAAATAGTAAGAAACCAGTAAGTCTGAAATGATGAATTATTTGCTGCATAATATTAAATATATTTATAGCAAGACAAACCTAAGCTTGTCCTTGTTGGGTTTCTGTATTCTGTAACATGAAAAGAGAGTTTATTTTACCTCTGTATTTGGCACTGGTGAGAACACTGCTGGAATAGTGTGTCTAGTTTTGGTGTCCACAATTCAAGAAGGATGTTGATAAACTGGAGAGGGTTCAGAGAAGAAGCTCGAGAATGATTAAAAGATTTGAAAACATGCCTTATCGCAATAGACTCAAGGAGCTCAATCTATTTAGCGTAATCAAAGACGATTAAGGGGTGACCTCATTACAATCTGTAAGACCCTACAAGGGGAACAAATATTTGATAATGGGCTCTTCAAGTCTAATTATATTCTCTAGAGAAAGGTATAATATGATCCAATGGCTGGAAGTTGAAGCTAGACAAACTCAGACTGGAAATAAAGCATAATTTTTTTAACAGTGAGGGTAATTAACCATTGAAACAATTTACCAAGGGTTGTGGCAGATTCTCCATCACTAGCAATTTTTTCATCAAGATTGGATGTTTTTATAAAAGACATGTTCTATGAATTATTTTGGGGAAGTTCTATGGCCTGTGTTATATAGAAATCAGATTAGATGATCACAATAGTCCTCTCTCCATCCTTGCAACTCCTCCACAAGGGCCAGACAGAAAACCAGACACTGCACTTGGGGTAAAAGGGACTGAAGATACTAGCACCCCTGGCAGTGCAAATCACCCAAAGGGGGATGGGAAGGAAGCAAGGCAACAGTCCTACCATCTAGCACTGGCTGGCACTCTATGGCGCTGGCAGAGCTACCATATGTCAGCCAAGGAAATCTGCGAGGCACTATGACTCCTGAGGCACAATCCCTGAGAGGCCTGGTCTACACCTAAAATTTAGGTCAATCTAGCTACATTACTCAAGGATCTGAAAAGTTAATTAAGACAACCTAAGCCACAGTGTACACACCTCCAGGTCGACAGAAGAACTCTGCCCCACCCCTGAAGGCAGACCAGTATTTACACATTGAGTCATACATACACAATGGTCCTTAGTGAGTGAGACAAAAGTATGTGCAATCAGCCTGGTTTACATATCAAATTAAAACAGGACCATCCTGTCATATCCAATGTATTCTAAAAGATATATTCAAAACCTAAATATTGGACTACCTAGACAATGGTTTTACACTGGAGACTTTACATAACCTTAAGAATTACTGCCTTATAAAAACAGGAGAAAAAAGAGCAAGTGTACAACTTTCTAATGCAACAAGAAGAGTAAAACAACATGAACAATTTACCTTCTTGGTTCTTATGGTGAATCTGCACCAGCTCTGGCCCTTCAGCATATATTAACACAGCTTAGGGGTTGCTCTACATTACGCCAACTGCCTATGGTCTTTATAGAACAAGTCAATTGTGAACTGGCATAATGATTGTGTGCTCTATCCCACCCATTTGCACCCCTATGTCAGTGTGTGTGGGGGGCAGTTAGCATAGGAATTAAATACTCCATTTTACATCACCTGGGGACTCCTGAGCTACACCAGAAAAATTCTGAGCTGGCCAGTTAGAACCAGATTCCTGAACAGTGCAGTGGATGAAACAGAAGAAAAGAATCTGGGCCTGTATTTCTAGGTTTAAAAATAAGCAAGTTTAAGCACTTTGGCTTATAAGGAAAAAGAACATAGTTCTATTTGCAGTTTCCACAGAAAGATGTTTGTTGCATCAGTTAAAAAGAGTATGTAGTTTACCCTGAATATTTAATCTGTTACTTATCATCAAATCCATTTAATTTAATATACCGTTTGTAATTGAACCAAGCATGTAAACTAGAAGGGTAACAGATTAAGTTATTTTTACTATCTTAATATTTTATCCTTTTTAATTCTTTTTCTCCCCTCCCCCCCCTTTTTTTGACAGTTTTCACACAGTTGTTTTTCCAGTACTGAAAGGTAAGTTAACTCTAATTATATTCTCTACAGTTATATTTGGTTATGTATAGTCCAGATAGGACTTGTGATCAGACATGGGATTTTTCATACTGTATTTTGTTGTGAAAAGGAAGCATCTTTACAGAGTCCTATTTTTTTAACACGTTACTCCAAGACCACTGAATTATTATTTTTAATGTTAATATTCTCTTTATTACTGGACAAATTCATATTACAAAATTTTAAAGCTTTGAAAATAAGGCTCAGTAATGGAACAACGCTTTATGCTATAATAACCTTAGAAAGTAGGATGGAATCCCACTCCTATAAAAGGATCTGCTCACAGAACAAAATATACAATGATCTTTGCAGGACTGACCCTATATTAACATCTCTCATACTTTACTTTTATAACAGAATATTTGTACAAGAAATACAAGTCCACTTCTATCCTTCATCAGCCACTTTTTGAAGCCACAGTAGTCAATCCAAAATGATTTATGTCTTTAAATACTTTATAAGCAGCTCATTACATAATAACAACTCTTTTATATTAAATAAAAATAGAAAAGAGTTAAGACAAAAACTTGAATATAATTATATGGTATACCCTTTTCTCTAACAAATCACAGACAATAAAAACAACCTGTTTCTAGTGATGGGAATTCTCAGTTACTGGCCTTTATGATCACAAAATCTACCTTTAAAAGATCTTTTAAAAAGTGACACAGTAACTGTCATTTTATAAATAATACTAACGTTTGGTGCAATACCAACTTGATTATATAATTTATTGAATTTATGACTCTACTGTACTATTTAGGCTCATTAAGTATATACAGTACATTTGATCAAGCATTCTAACTTGATATTGTTCAGTAAGCATGAGCCTCTAGGGCAGAGGTGGGCAAACTATGGCTTGTGGGCCACATCCGGCCCGCGGGACCGTCCTGCCCGGCCCCTGAGCTCCCAGCCAGGAAGGCTAGCCTCTGGCCCCTCCCCCGCTATTCCCTCCTCCCCCGCAGCCTGAGCATGCACTCTGGCCCACCGCTCTTGCTGGGCAGCGCGGCAGCGTGGTTGGCTCCGGCAAGGTAAGGGGGCAGGGAGCAGGGGGTCCCGGGGCGGCAGTCAGGGGACAGGGAGCAGGGAGCGGTTGCATGGGTCAGAGGTTCTGGGGGGGGCAGTCAGGGAGCGGGGGGGTTGGACGGGTTGGGGGTTCTGGAGGGGGCAGTCAGGGGACAGGCAGCAGGGGGTGGTTGGATGGGGCGGAGGTTTTGGGGGGGGTCAGGGAACGGGGGGGCTGGATAGGGCGTGGGAGTCCCAGGGGGCCTGTCAGGGGTCGGGGGTGTGGATAGGGGTTGGGGCAGTCAGGGTACAGGGAGCAGGGGGGGGTTATATGGGGGTGGGGTCCCAGGGGGCAGCTAGGGGCGGGGGTCCCAGGAGGGGGCGGTCAGGGGACAAGGACTTGGAGGTTGGATGGGTCAGGGATTCTGAGAGGGGGGCAGTGGGAGGGGAAGATAGGGGGTAGGGGCCAGGCTGTTTGGGGAGGCACAGCCTTCCCTACCCGGCCCTCTATATAGTTTTGCAACTTCGATGTGGCCCTCGGGCCAAAAAGTTTGCCCACCCCTGCTCTAGAGTATTTAAGGTTAACATGACATCTGACAAGCAATAACAGTAGATTCAATTTTTAGAGACTAATACTGGATATACAACTTACAGCTTTAAGTTATTCCAGGGAAAATCTACCCAGCAAAGGAATGGCAAAATACAGTTGCCCACAAAAGTTTACAGACTGCGAGCAGAAAATGGAAAATGTATTTCTGTGTTTTATTATTACTTGTGTTCTTTCAATTTTATTTATTGTAATATCAGGTCTTAAAGGACACATATAAATTAACCACTTAATTGAAATTATAAAGAAGTCATGTAAGTGGGTATCTGACTTTAGTCATCCATATAAGTTTATAAACAGAAAGTAAAAACAAAAAAGATAAACTAATATATAACACAAGCCCCCAATCCTACAAAGGGATCCATGTGAAACGACTATTCTACTTGTATGGATTCTCTAAAGGTTGGGAGCCTAAAAAATATATTCTTCAGCTATTTAATAAGGTAACCAGATCACAAAATACAACATACTTTATCACAAAGAAAACAAATTATCACATACTTTAAGGTATGCTGTGTAATATGTAAAGAGACGAAATGAGAAAAAATAATATGTCATCCTAGGCAAGAAGAGCTCAGCTGTAATTTAAGAAACAAAATAATATCTTATTTTCAAGAAAAGTATGTTTGAAAAAAATAACCCAAAAGTTTTGAGTAGCTAAATGCCTATCTGCCAACATCTGACATATATAAATATAGCTATATGAGGAGAAAAATGAGGATACACCTTTTAGCTCCAAGAAATATGCTGGACTAGAAGATTTTTTGATGGAAGAATGGAAAAATGATAAATATTTATTAAAAATAAATAAATAAAGGATTATCCCTACTAAGGCTCAATTTCAGGAAAGGACATAACATGCTGAACATACATGCTCAACTTTGACATCAGTGGGACTTAAGCGTGTGCTTAAAATTAAGCACATTCTTAAATGTTTTGCTGAATTAGATCCTAAATATGAAAGGTTAGCATGTAGGAGAAATATGGAAATGACAAAAAAAACCCACAAGGCTTTCTGTTGCTAAAGAATAGAGGTAGGAAACCTATCACTGTAAGAGAGAAAATGAAAAAAATTTATATTGAAAAAGCTGAAGAAAAATATGAAGTGCACAGCTTGGAAAACTGCAAAAGAGCAGATAACAGATTTTTCAACACAAAAACAATATTTTTCAATATGAAAACATGTACAAATGTTCATTTTCCCCTTATGTGCATAAAAATACACAAATAAGAAATATAAAACAAGAATGTTTAGCGAGAAAGGGAATGCACTAACTTCCCAAATTTTTTTAACCTTCTTTACAATTGCCATTGTTTACATTTTATCAAACTTTGTTTTCAGGAATTTGTTTAAACTCAATATAATGTGCTAGACTCTAATCTAAGATTCCAAGAAAACAGATTTTTGTAAAGATAAACAACAATTAATACCGATTATAATAACATCCATAATATATTAATCATTCCTTAATATATTTGATAACACAAATAACTCAAATTACTACCAACACATAGATGTGTGATACCTTGTTTTGGAAAAGGAAGATTTCCCAACATTAATGGCATGTAGAAATAAAGTATCGGAAATCCTTCCCACAGAAAAAATTAGATAGCTACATCAGCATCAAATAGTTTTTAATGCATGCTTACCATTTGTGGAATTTGAACAAAATAAATATACAGATAATGATAAGAGGTTGACCAAATAGAAATTGGTCTTTTAAAGGGAACAGGTGCAGGTTATTATTAAGATCTGTTAGTACTTGCATAGACAATTCATGTATGTTAATAATGACAAAATTAAAAGTTTTAAAAAATAAATCATTTATTTAAAATCTATTGTATGGCAACATGAACCCTAATATACATTCACAAGCCTGATAAATGTTTTCAGCAAGTGGAGCTGAGATGTTTTATCTCTTGATTCCTGGGTGGTCAGGGTTAGAAAAACTTACCAGACACCTGACGGTCAGAAAACTAAACCTACTAGTCAAGAGGTAGATATGAAAGATAAGAATGTTGGGACCCCACCCCTGAGGTTTAGGGGCAATGTCCTGGTAAGAATGCCAGCTCCTCTGCCATCAACTGCTAGGAAAAATGAGGGTACTGAGATGTCTACTAGAATGCTGTTCCTGGACTATGTTTGGAGACTCTTTATCTTTTATACTAGTAACTAGTTAGTAGGCATCTTATAATGTGAAGTTCCACCCGCACATAACTGCTGAAAAGGATAAAAAACATTCTATCTCCTCTCTCACCCACTAGAACATTCTGGCTACTACCAGGGTATTTAGGTCTCCTCTACTACTCTATGCCTCCCCAAGTCATCTGGTTGCTGTGAAAGGTTCCCAGCCTCCACTTTCAGGTCCTCTTCCCCTGTAAATAATTTCAGTGTCTGCTTCAGCTCACAATGTTCCAAGACAGCAGCAGAAAACTGAAATTTCTGGCAGTTTCACCACTGCCTACAGGTAGGGTGACCAGATGTCCCGATTTTATAGGGACAGTCCCAATTTTGGGGGCTTTTTCTTATATAGGCACCTATTACCCCCCAACCCCTGTCCCGATTTTTTACACTCACTATATGGTCACCCTACCTACAGGTCTCTGAATAGGAATGTGAAACTGATTAGACTTTCACTAATACTGCTGCTTTTGACAAATCTACAAGCAGAAGCAGAGGCACTAAAACTATCTGCAGACTCAGGAAGGTGACACTACAGTTCACATTTGGTCGGAAAGGTTATCTTTGTAACAATAAGGGCCATAAACGTAATTTATTTTTAAATGAAAATTTTGATTCTGCAGAAATTAGTGGTTTAGATGCGCACACTTGCTCAGGTAAGCCTGCCATTTGCCCAGGGCAAGTTGATTTTCCAAACTCTGTATATGACTATCCTTTGTGCATCTAACACAGCACTGCCCAAAGTGGTGTGGAGTGTGTGACTTTGTGCATCCTGCTAGTAATAACTGTGCTGCCACATTAAGGAGCACCCAATGATACAGCACATCAGTGCCCAACTGCAACATGTGACTATGGTGGCACTGTAATGTAGTGCCAGCTACTAGTAACTAGGAGCTAATTTATCCTTTCTGGTAGATTGTACCATCTGTTTTTCTTTCTTTTACCAGTATTTCTACTTTTACTTTCTTCTGGTTCTCTTGATTTCTTCCTTTTTCTCTGGCTTTCTTCAACTTACTTTCACTTCCCAATTACTGCTACTGTCACATACCTACTTTCCCTGCTTCTCTGTTCTTTGCAGGGGGAGAACTTGTGTTGCGTTCACACACACTTTCTTTAGACCTTTCCCCCCCTTCTCTACCATCATTCACAAATAATACAGAACCTTCTTCTACTAGGGCAGCAAACTCCTGATCGGCCCCTTGTGGCCAGCAGAGGCTCTGCCATGGCCTGCTTCTGGTTTCCCTCTTCATGGCCCCTTAAGACTTCCACACAGTCTTTCTCACACCCCCCTCCTATCTGGGGCTTGTTAAATAATAGAGACAGTTCAAAACAGTCCTCAAGGTCCTCAAAATAAAATCCATTACCACAACCCAAAAGTTCACTTAGCTCAGGCTCTTCTACCACACAAGGAGCTCTTCTCCTTCCCCAGTCTGCTCTTCACAAAGCTGCCACTCCTGGCCCACCCTAGTGAAAGCTCAGCCTTCTGGATTTGGCTTTCTTCTCCTGTCAGCATTTCCCCAGTTCCTACAGAGAAGGGAGCATATATACTGCTCTCCTTCAGAGAGCTCCTTGCAATTGGCTGGGAAAGAGGGGACTCTGCCCCATCCTACACTACAGAGCTCCTGCTCCTGGGCCCTTAAAGGGACAGTGTTGTGGGTTTCTCGCCCCCATCCAACTACTAATTCCCCAGAACCACTTCCTCTCGTCCAGCTTCTGCCATTTCCTGAGACTTTGTTTATTCCAGTGTTCCTAGAATAGGGTTTTCTGGCCTTCCTCTAAGCTTAAAGGGCCAGTATACTCCATTACACTTCTGATTCCAATACTCTGTCACTTTCTATCCCTTCACTGATTGAATGGGACCTCTTTCAAAACATTCTGTTGGCTGTCTGAATAGCAGAAGGGAAATAAAGAATATCAGCATAGATGTGCAGTGTTACAATATCACCACAGTTACACAGGGAGAACTCCCATACAGAGTTTCTGATCATTTAAACATAAAAGCAGGAGTCTTGATAGTGATTGTACCCACAATTGCAGGGAGAGCACTTCTTCCGCAATCCAGGTAAAGGTATTTGTAATCACTCTATGTGAACACAGTGGCACATGACATTGTAAGTATTATTATTATTTAAGCACTAAGAGTGTGATGGACACAATAAAAGATACAATTCCTGCTCCAGGGAGTTTAGAGTTTATTGAGCATATCTGATGGAATTCACTCAGAATTCCAGATTAGTTTAGTTTACTTAAACCAACTTTGACAAAGATACATAGTGCAAGTGCACATTTATTAACATTCCTGTATGCAAACCAACAGAAAATAATTACATTAGTAAATTTTGATACCGTAGCTACACAAATACTAGTGTAATCAGTTTTTACAGAATTTTCTCTCAATTTCAGAAAGATTGAGAGAGATAGAGAGTATGTGTCTAGAAGGAGAAATAGATTTAATATTTATGAAAAGTGAAAAGAGAAACAAATTCATATTTCCGTATCTAGAAGCAATACTACTGTATCCCACATTTAGTGAATAATGAGATCCCTGGTAGATATGCTGTATATGTTTTTTAACAATAAGCTAAATGAGGATTTCTTGGATACATAACTCAAATTTCCCAATTCACATTTTTACCCATAGTCCTTTTTTAATATTGACATATCAATAACTATTGGAAAATTCAACAATTTCAGTGTACGTAGAGTAAAATTTTCTGATCTTGTGACTCAATATCCACAAAATCTTAGTGCCATTAAGAAGGACATGTTTTGACAAAAGTAATATATAATTTGCCTAACGTACTGCCAAGAAAACATAATTAGAAAGGTATGTATAAATGAAATTAACCCCAAAGTCACAACTTTTTTTAGCACAATGTTAAAACTACTCTAAGCAAAATATTTTAATGTTTTAGTATTCTTATTTCATAAAAGAAAACAGATCTGGGGGAAAAAACAGGACTTACATTATCTCGGTAAGAAGGCTCCGGAATTCACCCTGAGGAGTCACACTAGGGCCCCGATCATGCAACTGACTTCTCACAGGTAGAACCCAGCCCCAGTGTGGCGCCTCATTGACTTCAATAGAGTCCAACTCACACAGAGTCAACTGCAGGATCTGGGCTATTGTGGAAAGGACAATAATGAAAGCTCCTTCACACACCTGCAAAAATAGGTACGGAGATAAAAAAATTAATTATTAATGTGCTCTTGTGTCTTCTCACAGCCTGTTTAAGTGTAGTATTTATGATTTTTTTTCATTTGCATGTAGTTTTATTATTTGTTTTTTATTTAAATCCTTTTTTTAAACATTGGTTTGAAAAAAATCTTTAGGACATGTACACTAACTGATATAATATTCATTAACATCCAGGGAGCTTTTACTGTTATATGGTACAAATATATATTTAGACATATTTTCACACATTTTTAAATCATTAATGACTCCAGTTTCTTTGGTTTATTGTGCAAATACCTATTTAGGTTCTGAGCATGGAAGCTGAACTATGCAGGCAGATCCCTGAGCCAGTCCAGAGTCCCAAAGAAGTCAATGGGCTGGCGCAGGGATCTGACTGTATCAAGCAGCTTCCAAGATCAGGGCCTTAGAAAATATGCAATAAAAATTGTCATGAAAATCAGTTTAGCACTAGCCACTTTTTAAAGTTAAATTTGTTGGCCTTTTTAAACAACAATTCTTATGAAAACAGAGTATTGTTGATTATTTGCTAAAATTAAGCTTTTAAATCAAAGATGTTTAAGATACAGGAAGTGCAAAAAGTCATTTTAAACAAATAAACATCTCTCATTCCCTGTTCACACAGAACTTACATTCAGGTTTTTTTTTTAAAAGAACACTTCTAGGTTGAGTCCATTCAGGGAAATGTCAACAGTGATCATGTTTTTATACAGAAACTACAAACTCTTTAAAAACAGGTTTGTAATGGACACCATGAAATAACATTTAACTGGTGACGCTAGACAAGGGACACTGTCAATAGCCATGATGAGTCTAGCCTTCAAATTTGACACACTCCTAGAAACTTGCAGAGGGAAAGGTGTCTCCCATTTTTAAACATGCACACAGGTACAGAAGTAACTAGAGAACTAGTTCTCAAAAACAAAGGCTACATGACTTAAGAAGCCAGCTCATAAACTAGAAGTAAATATAAATACATTCATAATATAAACACAATTCTGTTGGAATCAGAGATACCATACTATCTATCTGTTTCTCTGCTGGCTCTATTCTTGTGAGCAGACAAAAAAATTGAACTCACAAGAATCCTGTGTTCTACAGAGATCAGAGTCCAAAGTTATCAACATTTTCTATCCCCTGACATCTCTCCTGTGAGTGAGCAGTGAAGCAGATAAAATGTGTGTGCCCACTTTCACAATCCCAACAAATCCAGTGTCCTGGGTTCAGGGCAGTTTGGCTCCTATATGGGACTTGAAGACTTGAAACTCTAGTTTTGGCAGGTAGATAGGTTTTTCAGTTGGTGCAGGAAGGCAAATAAATAAAATTAAAATCTGCATTTCAGGGAGCATGTGCCAAATTTGAGACTAATCGCCTTAATAGTGAGGAGTATTTTTTAATTCAGTAACATGTTATATGCAGAGCCCTGGGTATTCTGTGATTCCATGGCTGAAGAATTCACCCCTTTCCGCAGAATTGTACTGCAGAATCTAAATTTTCATTTAAAAAAACTGTGGGTGAAATCTTGGCCTTATTTCTAATCCTTATGGTTGTAGAGACAGCTTCCACAGCATCAAATGAACGTAAACTGATGCAATGTTTCCTGCCTGAATCTGTGAAGAACCTGAAACAATAGCTCTGAGAGGCGTGATGTGCCCTATTCCTTGCAGTCAGGGCCCCTTGGAATCTATGATTCTGCAAACACAGAATTTGACATTTTCCCAAGATGGCATGGAATTTGGTATATTGCTGCAGACAGCCACCCAAAATTTTGTTGTCTGTCTCACTGCTCTTCTGCCTGCAGTTACCTCTTGCTCTCCATCTTTCCCTAAAAGAAGAGATTAAGTGGATTATAGTGCATGCTTCCTACACTGTTCCATGGAGCTAGGCAGCGGAGTGTGTCTAAGAGCTGAAGTCCAGCTTGCAGTCCAGTGAGTGGAGAGAGCCAAAAGTATAGCTTGGTGAGCTTGACAGCTAGAGAACAGCATAGCAGTCAAGGCCTAGGGAGCCAGATAGATGAGACACTTGAAGCTGGCCACAAACCCTCCTTCTCTGACAGGGATGAAAAGAAGGTGGTTCTAAACCAGGCTGCTAAGAAAATATCATGGGAGTCAATGCCTAGAATTGGAGCTGGGCCATCTGAAAATCCTAGCAAAAAAATCCATCCTCAAAAATAATTGTAAAAAAATGATTATCAATCAATTTTACGTCAATTAGTGTTTTCAATGATGAGCCACCCATGTGTGTGTTTGTGGTATGACAGGGGGATTAGAGTGAAAGTATTACATACTGATAGAATACATTAATCTAGAGCCTTCGGGTTGTTTCCACAGAATTTGGTCCTTCTGTGCCGCAGAGTCACTACACTTTTTTCAGTTGGTGCCAATTTTATATGTCCCTTCATGAAGGTGCAAAATAATAGAAGTGCAGTTCAGATTACCTTTTTTTAATATTCACCAAGACTGCAGTTAACAGGCAACAGGCCTATAGAATGCACTGCACTTCACCCCTTTCTCTGCAACTTCCTGCTTCTCTTCCACTCCCACTTAGCCTCTCCCCAGACCTAAAAAAGGTTCAGCGATACACATTCATTCAATGAAATATTTTCAATGTGCACTAACTTTTTAAGAGGACAATGGATATTAAACAACCACCAGAAATTCCTGTCATTGCCTAGAACTAGCATTTAATTCTCTGTTATGTGAAATAACTTTTTATATCTTCTTTTTATATCCTGCTTCACCCTCTTACAGGTTACACATGCATTGATATTCTTTTCCTCACTATTCTGCTGTAGCTGAACATTTTTGGCATGTGTTTCTTTAGCAGAAGAGACAGAGTTGAAATCAAAAGGTTCTATGGCAGTTAGATTTAGGCAACCAGTGAAAAAGGCACCAACTGAAAAAAGTGTAGTGACAGCCACAAAACTCCCATAAAGGGAAGAAAGGCAGGGGATAGTCAGTGAGGAAAAGTTAATAGGAAGCTGAGCGAAAGAGGAAAGGTTAGTAGGAAACAGGGTGTGTGAGAAGTGTAAGAGAAGTGAAAGTGTTTTAAAGGGAGAAAAGGGGATGGAACAAAAAAAGAAACAAAGGCCCTAATTCAGCAAAGCATTTGGAGCAGAATTTTCAAAAACACTGATCTAACTCTGCTCCCATTGAAGTGAAAGATAGAGGTTAATTCTGAGAGCTTTTGAAAAGCCCACCCTTAAGCATGTGCTTAACTTTAAGCACATAAGTAATTCCACCCCTATGCTTAAGTCCCACTGAAGCCAATGGGACTTGACCACAGGCTTAAGTGCTTTGCTGAAGCAGGATATGATTACTTGTGTGCTTAAAATTATACACATATTTAAGAGTTTTGCTGAATCTGGTCTCATGAAAACCAGAGAAAAAGTGACTGAGAAAGAAAAAAGAAACAAACTGTGAAATCCACATTAAAAAATAAATGAGTTCCTGGTTATTTCTTTATGCTCTGAGCATAAAGGTTGGATTACTGCCTGGTATCTCTTTGGTTTAAATATAAAAATAAAAACTTGTTTTTAATATAATGAATATATTGTAACACAGCAATTACCTCTGGCGAAAGATAATTAATTCAGTGAGTGATACCATTAATACTAAAGTAATTATTGACACAGGGTTGCAGCCTTAACTATTAAGGGGACTCACAGTCCTCTATGCCTACTTGCACTTGCACTTCCAAAACAGATTGTGTAATTAGCTGGGAGAGGGTTAATCTTTCCAATATTACTATCTCTATGGTAACAGGACCACAGAGATAGAAGGAGCTGTGGAAATCATGAAAGCAGCCAAGAAGGCGGTGCTCTCCATTACTTCTCACTCTATGATACTGCTACCATAGTGAAAGAGAAGACACAGAGACACCATCTCATAAGTATACCAAAAATCATCTGGAACACTGTCAGCATGCCACAGGTTACTTGTTATCTCTGTCCATCACTTGGAACCTATGGACCACATTTTGCGTACCACTGTTTAAAACTGTTCTCTACCAACAAGACAAGGAAAAAAGAACATCTTTATGTAATCATTAAATTATATACCAAAAAAATCCTGAAATTTATCACACTGCTCCTTATTTTTCAGCCTCTGGTCATCATTTTCACACCTTTCCTAATCAATTTAAAACTGTGGAATAGTACCAGGTTTACTGCTGGAGGCATGCTGTTCTGGAGCAATGCAAACAAATGGATGAAATATTCTGAAACATATCCATAAAACTGAAAAAATAGGCTTTATATTAATTTTAAAAATAAATAAATAAAACCCGTAAATAAATAAAAATAATATTCTTAAAATAAATGCAAAAATACAAAAGACCTACATTTAAATCTCAATGTTTTACAAAGAATATTAATGGGGAGAGTGAAGGATTAACTCTCAAATTCTATTCCTACTCTGCCTCTTTCTTATGATCTTGGGCAATTCACTTAATCTTTCTATGTTTTGTTTTACCCATCAGTAAAATAGGTATAATAAAATAATACTTTGCACTTCACAGAGATATTGTGAGGCTTAATAAAAGTTGATGCATGCTGTGAGGTCCTACAGGCCGCATACCAGAAATGAGAAATTGGAGAAGCAATTGAACAACCTAAATTAAGCCAGGATTGGAGGAAACAGATTAGGTAGCAAAAAAGCAAATAAGTAAATGCTAGACAAAGAGTTTATGTTATAGGTGCCCAATCCTGCATTAATATCAGTGGCATTCCATTCAGATGCAGGAATTCACCCATACAGAATTCAAGGCTCCAGTGCTTCGAACACTTGCACTTATGTTCAACTTTATTCATGTGAGTCATTCTATTGATGAGACTATTCATGGGGAAAGTTAAGCACATGCATAAACGTCTGCAGGATCAGGGTCTAAAGTTGGTATTAAGGGACTTATCTACAGAAGTTATTGTATCAATGACAATTATTTTTGCAAAGCCATGGACAACTGAAGAG